GAGAGAGAGAGAGAGAGAGAGAGAGAGAGAGAGAGAGAGAGAGAGAGTTTTGTGGCTTGTGGGGGAAAAGTTTCATCTTGTAGGATATTTATGGGACGCTGCAAGGGCATGGTGTGTGTTTGTGTGTCAGATTGTTTGTGTAAATAGTGTTTTTTTCCCTCCCCTACAAACCCTTGTCAGAGGCACAGCGGCTTGATGTGACACTTCCTCCCTGGCTTTGGTGATGATATGGCTGCAGGATGAGAGAAAGAAAGTGGTGGGCTGAGATTCAGCTGCCCTCAGGGACTTTTGCAAGCGAGAATCCTGAGTGTTGATGACAAAATAGATTGACATTTGCTTTTGACATATCACTCAGACACCCTTGTTTCTGAAAGATTTGTACTGTGTGAGCTGTAAGAAAGGAAGCCTGCTTTAGGCTAAGATGTTCCTTGCAATGCTCTCTGGTGCATGACATTCAAGAGATATATTTTCTCTCTCTCTCTCTCTCTCTCTCTCTCTCTCTCTCTCTCTATCCATCTGTCTGCAACAGCTCAAAGACAAGAGATCATTTTATTGTACTACATCAGTAACCTAATGTTCCTTTTGATGAGGAAGCAGCTCTATTTTGTTTCTTTTCTTTGAACCACATCAGGCCAGAACATAGTATCAGGGCTTGGTGAATAGACTGTGGATAAAATGCATCAGTAAAGCCCCATGTAAACAGATCACCCCAGGCCTCTATCAGTCTCTAAGCAAAATTTGATTTTAGAGCCAAACAGCAGAATGGTGTAAAGCTGCACATACACAAAAAATCATAAATGTACATGCATGCATTACATCCTGGAAAATCCACACATTTTTCAAAAAAAGTGTATTTATAACTGTTATTGAGTCACGAGGCAGAGCCGGGTACTCCAGTCATTATTTCACAGTGCAGCCAGTTGAGCAGTGAGGAGAGGAAACATCAGGCGATGCAGTTTTTGTGAGTTCAAGGATGTTATACTGTTTTGAAACAGCAGTGCGTGTTCTATCGAGCAACTGATTGTTCACAGTATAGGGCTAACCTGGACCACAGAAATTCTTCGTACACTAACACTCATTATTCACGTGTGCTTAATTTGATCAAAATATGTAGAGAAGATCAGTTAAAAGAAACTTGAGAATGAGAAGAATGCTCATTGTACAAATGACATGTTGTATAGTTTGGGTGCTAATATCGGAGTGCCAGAGAAACCTGATATTGACAATGAAACAAATGTACAGTTAAAGAGTTGCTCATGCTGCTAAAACACACTGAAAGTCTCTGCAGCTTTTTTTATCTGCCTTTAGATCAGTGTTTTTGTTTTTTCTGCCCCACTGTCACTGAAACCATAGGCAGCAAACAAGCTCAGACAAGCCAAGTATAAGCTTCCTGCCCAGTTCAAGATGACACACCAGACATGTAAGTGAGTGCTGGGTCTGGATGTGTAAGAAGGTCCCAGACAGTGTACATAGGCTGTCACATAGTTCAGCCCTTGTACATGACAGCTGTTATGCAGAACTCAATTTGTTGTTTTATTCATTGAAACTTAATCATCTGTAATGCTGCTGTAAATTATTTCTAGGTAATTCATTTTAGGTGTGTGTGTAAATTCTTAGCTGTGGTGTGTGATCTATATCTAGATGAATAGGTTATTTTTCCAAATGTACTGTTCTGTGTGGGTTAGTTTTGCAGAAACATGACTGCATGGGATTTCAGTGCGTGCCTCAAATTGTATGATGTGTGTTCTACATGTTATTACTTTTTGCTCTGCCTGTGCAACTGTGAGGGGACAGTATTTTAGGCTCCGACCTGACCCGAGTTAGTGAGCTCCCCAGAGATGGCCTCATCAGATGGCTGATTAGATAGACACCCCTGGTTTGACAGGGATGATGCTGAACAGTCGCGGCCACCTCTGGGACCCTGGCCTTTGTGTTTATCTTTGTTAGGGTTGCTGAAATTTACCACTGACATTAGAGGCTGCAGATAATGGATCAGGCAAACAAGCCAGAGGCCTGACCCCTTTCATCTACCAGGAGAACAAGGAGTTAAAAGGACAAAGAGTACGAAAATAATGCGCAGATTAAAGTCATTACTCACATTCTGGCCTGTTGTAAATTACTCATGTAGGGCTTGCGTGAGTTTACAGCATTAATGCAAACCTTGATTTCAGATCGCTGGCAGGCTCAAGAACACAGCCTTTCAACAATCGGTGGAGTGTTTGTTATTTAGAGACCATCTAAGCCAGACTGCTGTGACCTGGAGAGTACATCATCAAACCACATGAGGTTCATGCCGTCCCGGAGGTTCTTGACTCCAGGGTGGTTATGTGTAATGTGATGTGTGTGTGAGGGATGAATCGCACCAGTCCAATGTAATGGTGATAAAGTGATGGTGATAGTGGGTGACCGTCCTGCTCAGTGCAGGATGTGTCAGTTAGTTGTTTCCCTTGTTTTGCTATTGCCCAGTTCCTCTTTTCAAATATACATTTTAACAGCACCCGTGAACTATTGGAGCATTTTCATGTAGTTAAATTTAAAATGGTTTCATGAAAACAGTGTTAGTGTCTCTGATATGAATAGATAGAATATAAATAGATTACGCAGACATTTCTTTAAAATATTCCCAGGGGGTTACATTTCTGCTCCACTGTGCTTAAGTACAGTAGAGCAGACTGTATAACTGTGTATAACTGTACACACGGGCCTAACATGAGTACAGAGTTGTGAGCAGCCTGAATGAGCTTGTCGTCAGAAGATTCTGTAAAAGGCCATGAAAGTGATGTTTCTGCTTTATAGAAAGGTCAGGTCCAATTCACCGACAAAGGAGATGAGAGATGGAAGGCAAATTGGAGTTGGAGAAATGCATCCTCACTCTCCCACAACTGAATCTCCATCTCTTTCATGTCTCTTATGCCCTTCTGTTTTTCATTGTCACATTTAATTCTACAATGTGAAACAATAGAAATATGTTTCTGTGAATATGAGAATGTAAACAAAGGGAGCTGTTTGTCAGGAAAAGTAATGTTTTCAGGGTTTTTTGTTTTTCCAGCAAATGGTTTAGGACAGATGTCCAACAAATGTGCTAACTTTTATTTCTGCCAGCTTGGGGGATGAAAGCAGTTGGTAGCTTTTTTACATAAATTTACTGCCGTCAGACTTTAAGAACACTTTAAATAGCCTTTGTTTGAAGGCTTCTGTGCCCAATTATTAATCTGTGTATAGATTTCTTGCAGCCTTTTAAGTATGATTTAAAACATAAATGCATGCAACATATACACCAAAGCAAAATTATAATTGGCAGGAACGGGAAAACGTTGCTGCCTAATAAATGCCGCCATCAGTACTGTAATTTTGTTTTTATGACTTTTGGACATTTTTAACCAAAGCTTGTCCATTGTGTTTAAAACTGTATACTGTATTTCTGTCACAAAACCCATACAAAATAAATTCAGTTTTCACATCTCAAAAAGTTATTTGTACAAATCAAACACATGGAAATAGGAAACCTGTGTTTCTTGTTAAGATGACAGAGTAATAAATAATATCATGTAAAACAAATGAAAGTCATGGAAATTGGTTCGATTTGTTGGTAAATTAAATCAGTTTAAAAAGTTGTTTTCTTTTTCTCCTATCACCTGTTGTTAAGCTTAACATGTCATTTCAAACACAGGCCCCACATCCCAGAATATACTTTTTTCTGCTTACTCTCTCACAACAAACTAACGGGCTGGGTCTGCTTTATGAGAGCAGGGAATAGAAAGAGGACGTTGTGTTTCAACTCTCAAGGAGGTGGCAGTCACTGAAGTTCATTTAAATTTCATATTTATTAAAGTTTATTAAAGTAATGGCGTGTATGTGGATCCAAACAAGCTCAACATTCTCTCTGTTAGTTCTCATACGGGGAAGCTTGTCCACATCAACCACCGTTAGTCAGTCAAGAGTTTAGTGGCAATGAATTTATCGTTTACAGCTGTGACACCGCTGCATTCTTCCACAGCAGTTGTGTGTAAACTCAGATACCCTGTGATGCATTGTGGTCCAGACAAAGAGGTTTCCCTTTCTGCTTCTCTTCTTCTTCCATCACAACATCTCCATGTCTGCTCGTGGAGAGAAACAGTGTTGTAGATGTGTCACACGGGAGTGAAGTTACATGTTCATGTTGCCTGTTGTAGGGTGTTGAAGTCGGTCTGGTGCATCCCTGTACTGTAGCGTAGGGGTTAAGACGCCAACCATGAACCTCAACATCCGCGGTTTGAGTTCCCTTTGTTGCATCCCTCTCTTGTGTTTCCTCTCTTTTCCCAACTGTCAGAAATATTGTCTTAAAAATACAAAAAAAAAAATATATATATATATATGGGTGACTCAGCTGCATCTGATGCACTTTTAGTTTGATTACAAAAATTAACAAAGAAATCAAAATCCTGAAACCTTTTCACTGATAGTTAACTTTTATTGATCAGCCATTTAGTAATTGGTGTTAACAATGTGAGGCACATTTGAACAGTGTTATTTGAACAAGTGCTTTTAATAATACTTTTTCATCATTATTTTTTAACTCTTTTTGTTGTACAGCGATGAAGAATTTCAGTAATCCAGACTCACTGTGCAAAGAGGAGGCGTTTCACAACACTGTCAGCTCATCGTCTGGTTCGATACATTATACTGGACTTAAGGTTCAATATTCAACATTTCTGATAAAGAACGAATGGAAAACAAACTGGAAAAAGCATCTTCAGCCATGAAGTAAGCAAAGACTGATTTATAGGGTCTATCATTATGATCTTTTAAATAGTCTCATATGTTTTAGTTGAATATGCAAATAAATAAATCTATAAATTAAGTTAAACTATAAACATAAAAAGCGACAATGATTAAACATTTAAGAAACCTTTGTAAGAAACACTTCTAGATGAGACATTTAGAAAAACATCTGATCACACAAAAATTCATATTGCAAGACTTATTGAACTTCGATCAATTATTCATCTTTAATTGGTTAATCAGTCTATTTTTCAAGTTCTTATTGAAGCTTAATTTGGCACGTTGGCTGTGTGACAGTTAAGCAGGTATTAAATGTATTCTATGTGTCATTAACAAGGTCTTGAAAAGTCTTACATTTGGGAGGGTGGAGGTCTGAATTCCCCATGTATCCCCCCCTACACACACACACACACACACACACACACACACACTCTCAGAGTCAGCCCTCTTTAATTAGAACCAATTTCTTCGAGGAAACAATCTTCCTGTCTGATGAGATCATCCCTAAATCCAATCCTGAGATGGTGGTGACCTCAGCCTGTGGATTTGCTCTGTGTTTTTCAACACCCAAACAAATCCCAAGAAAAGCACCTTGTGATGACTCGGGTGTCTTGAGAGAGGCTAGTGTGAACAGGTGGGTGGAGCTGAGCCCTCCTCTCCGAGACAAGAGGTCAAATATGTCCATGAATAAGCTATAAGCAGTTCCTGTTTGCAATGCAACCATGGGTGTACAGATAGCTATCTCTGAATTGCAAAATAAAAAATGATAATGATTCTCAGAAGTTCTGGAGTTATAAGGAGAGTCTTCTTTCCTTTGATTACTAAGGGGATTTATGGATGCTAATCTGTGACGGACATCAGCGATAGTGACATCCTCGAAAAGTCCCACTAAATCTAAAAATATGTTCATCATGTCTGTGTGTTAGACTGCGTTATGACTCTGAGAAGGAGTGCCAATATTAACGCAAATTGTGGCAATCAGGTGCTGGTGGTTTTAAATTACCTGACCGGCCTCTATGCGCGTGAGTGTCACAGCCACTGCTGCCGCTCCAGCTGCTGACTGTGTAGGTAAACAGGCCAAATCAGCGGGCCAAACTACAATAACTATGACTTTTTGTTGTTTTCACAGCACCGGCATGCACCTGTCCCTCTCCCCTCACGCACTATCTGTGCCTCACAGTCTGAAAAACTCCCGGACTGAGTTTTCTGTGAATTGTGTTATGATTGTTGATTCGTTCAGTTTCATTACTTTAAACCTTTTCACTACTCGACAAAGTCCTTCTCACTGTGTCTCCTGCAGAGTCAGTATTAAAGGAAATGGGCTGCCAGTGTCCTGAGTCAGCCAGCACTGGAATGAAATGTGCGCATCATTTCCCAAATGAATGCCCATCTCCTCCTGCTTTCATGTGTTTTCCTCACAACACATGGGCTGTTTGTCTGGACTTGTTTTAGGCCCCTTCAAACACTTCTATCATGGCCATTTTCCTTAAAGCATCAACTTGAAACGGCGCAGGATATAAAGCAGTAACCGCATGTAGAGCCAGTGTTTTGGATGAGGTTAAAAGAGTCCTAGAGAAGAAAGGGGGATAAATAATGACAGTACTAACAGCAAAGCATAATAAAGGTGTAGTTTTCTTAGGGAAGTGGAAGCTTTCATCTCTCTATTACAATAATGTTCTCAATGAGTCTAGGTCCAGGCCTGTGTTTAGTCCAGGAAGCTTCGAGTGGCAGACTTGAAAGGCTCCACTCAGACTGTACAGACCTGGCTCTCACTAGAATATGGTATCCTCTCCTCCTCTCCTTTCTTCTCCTCTCCTTTGCTCTCCCCCTCGTCCCCCTCCTCCCACATGATAAAGGTAATGTGGAGCTCTGTGGCTTGCAGTGACAGTAAACCATGGTAAAATGGCTGTCGATGCTCGGCCCCCCGTAAGGCCCCCTGGGTTTAGGAAATGAAGCATTATTTTCATGTTTCTACGTCACGAGCCAGCCCCCTTTGCAGCTGTTGCATGCTTTACAACTCTGTTTAGCACATCTCAGCTAAAGCACTCACTGTGCCAACACACTCATATTTCACATTTCATAAATACAGTTTGTTCATCTTTATTTTGTCTCTCATTACCTGGATTTATATTCACGGATATTTTTTTTTCAATACATGTTGAGCCTTCACTTTCTCTCATTGTTTCCTACTTTGTGTGTGAGCCATGTGCGAGAAAAAGGATCTTACAAAAAGCCATATTTTTTACCTCCCTGCCTGTAGACTCGTTTAGTCATCACAAAAACAAAAGAGATTAGACACTCTGGATTAAAATGTGCGGAAGATAACACTTATTTATGCACTCATTTGGACGCCTTTTAATTCCACGTATTAATGAAATCCTGCTTAGAATTTAATTATTTTAGTTCCAGTTTGTTGGGGTTCCCCTGCAGAAAATCTACAATTATATGCTTGGAATTAATTTTTTCCCCTCTTCTTCTTCTTCTTACTAAATCCGCTCACACATTTGTTTTCCGTCCCGCCCACTTCCCTTTATCTTTTCTACACCCACCTCCCCATCGCCTCCCCTCCCCCCCGTCCTTTTCCTCTTTGCCTCAGCACTTCGAGGCTTAAGAGAGGGATGTACCACATGGGCCACTCCCTTCTGACAGCCACCCCTTCCCACAGTGTGGAATGGCACAGTCCTGCTTTGCATAAGTTTCCTCTGAGTGGGTCGTGGTTGGAGGCCAGTACTGGAAGAATTATTAAACCCTTTTGAACGGCTTGGATGTATGTCCAGAGAAACAGCTAGTGTGCTGTTGTAGTGTATGTGTATCACTTAAACTGTTAAAGCTAGAATGTATTGCGCCTACCCTGTCCCAGGAATGGGCAGTAACTCTTTAATGTATTACTACAACGGAAAATCGGTGAGTAGTCTCTTTGGGAATGTGTGTGTATTAGACAGAGAAGAGCTGGAAGAAGTGTGTGTGTGTGTGTGGCTCTCGGTCTCAGTGTGCTTGTCCATCTGATTGATTGTCCATACCGCTATAATTTTAGTTTTTCATTTATTTTAACATAAAAGCACTGTGTTCCTGTTTATGTGTGTGTGCATGTGTGTGTGTGTGTGTGTGTGTGTGTGTGTGTGTGTGTGTGTGTGTGTGTGTGTGTGTGAATGTGCCTGAGGCTCCCCTCTCTGATTTCCATTACATCAGTTAATGCTGTGTGACAGTACAATTTAACTTTGTTTTAAACTTAATTTAGCACTCTTTTTTTTATGCTGCTTTATAGCTGTGTTAATATGCTAGGCAACACATTAAAAAAAAAAGTTATGCCATTTTTAAAAACTTTTTCTCATTCGCAGAAATAAAACCGTTTGGCAGAAAAAGATTTTTGCAGCCTTGAATTTATTTTGACTGGCTTGTTGCTTCAGCTCCGAGACTGTTGAAATAATAACAAGTGGGATTCTGGGAATGATTTAGGGAAAGAGGCTGCCTGTTGAGGTTAGACTTTCCTGTTTGCAGATTGAGCTTTAAGCACGAGTGTTGCTGTTATTCCATCTGTTTTTAATCACATTGGCATTCTTGACGCCACAGGGAGCCTAATGTGATTTCTGAACTTCTCTTTTATTTTTGTTACTCTGAAAATGTTTTCTGTGTGAGGAATACTTTAGGAATCATAGTGTGTGTGTGTGTGTGTGTGTGTGTGTGTGTGTGTGTGTGTGTGTGTGTGTGTGTGTGCTGCACTTGGACTTGATGGAACTGAGTTTTCAGTAAAACTTAAGGTATTGATGTAAAGATGTTCGTGGTGCGGGGAAGGTTCTCCTTTGAAATAAATCCTCCTGTTTGTATGGTCAATGTAACTGTTAAAATGAATGGGCTCACAGTATGAATCTGCTCAAGGACACAGTTCTGACGATGGCTGAATAAGGTCTGTAGTGCATTTCAGTAATCCTTAAGTGATGATCCTGTCCTAAGCAAACTACACAGACAGATTTCCACCTGTCATTGCCTGTGCTGTTTTTGTTACATAAAGGGCACATGAAGGAAAAATAAAGAGCAGTCTTTTTAAGTTAATGTATTGAAAAGATAATCTTACTCCTGCTTGTTTTTCAACTTTTCCTTATAACCTGTTACGGTATTTTCTCTTTGTTCCTGCTGCATAAAAGATGACTTTGATCTTTTTAATATTAACAGGCTTGTGTTATAGTTGATGATGTGGAGAAAATTGATAGCATGTGGAAAGAACGGGCAAACTTAATGATCAAAAGCACTTGTTAAATCACTTTTTTTGTTGCTGTTCTTTGCGAGGAAAAAAGAAAGGTGGTGCTCATTCTTTGCATCTACTTCATCCACGTTCATTTGCTATAGTGCAGAGTTGCATAGCGGGCTCACCATCTGGAGCACTGGGAGAATTCACAGTGGGCCATTGGCTTGTGAGCTGGTGGCACAGAACCAATACAGATGGAGCAGCTCACTGATCTTTCTTCCATTGAGGAAGAAAGAAATGTAATGAAAGCCCTGCAGAGATGTTAGGAGCATGTTATCCTTGTTTTGCTAAACAGAAACAGAAGAAAAGTGGAATGTCATACAATTTGATCTGAAAAATGCAAAAGAGACAACATGTGTTCTTTGAGGCGCCTGTTGTTGTTTTGTAGTGCAACAGGTTCACACTCAATGCCTGAAGCTAATCCTTACGTGTGTTGCACATGCACTGAAGCATGCATGCTTATGTGCATGTGAAACACAAAGTCAGTGTGGGGTGGGTGGGGTGGTGTATTTACACGTCACACATGTTGTAAGTGGTGAATGAGGTTGCATTGATGCCAAAACCAAATTTTCGTGGTATTACCGACTGGAAGGCGTTATTCTGCGAGCTGGTTGTGCTATTTACCAGCTTCAGAGAAACTGCTCTGCTGTCAGAATGTGCAGTTGTTTCAAATATGTTACTGCTTAGCTAAAGATACAGAAAACCATACGTGCTAGAACTATTTGTTTGACTGAAATTGTGCATCCAAATACATATTTATGTGCTTTGGCTTTGGTTAGTAAGATATATTATATATCTTTATATTAAATATAATTTTCTTCTTGTTCTATTTCTACTTGTGAGCTGTTTCCTATCTGTGGTTTAATGTTTACTTGTTAAATATCTAGATCTATTCATTTGTTTTTGTGTTATTTATATTCCAGTTCCATGTAAGTAAATTAAACAGGGTTTTGAAATTTGAAATAATTGTAATTTCAAGAGCTCTATTATTATGTAAGGTATTGCCTTTCCTTACTAATACACTTTTAGGACGGTAAGATTTTTTGAAATGAAGTAAAAAAATAAATAAATAAATAAACATATAGCATTGGTAACGTCTGCATCTTGCTTAACACATTATTCCTCATGTCAAACTAACTTTATCGATCAAAACATCTCACGAGTGAATGTTGGTCTTTTTCAAGGCGATAGTTTTATTGTCACAGTTTAATGCATGACAATACTGAGCCCTTTTTTTCCAGATAGACATGGCAAGTATTACACAAATGTTGAGCAACGCCCCTCCAAGCAGGCTGAGCAGAGCAGTTGTTTGAAGAGGCATTGTATCTGTCGTGCATACTAAGCCTCGCAAGTGTGTTAGATTTGGACTTGAAACTAAATTCCCCAGTGTTATGGTTCGATTCCAAATAATGACATAGAGCACTTTGAACTCTTCTCTTTGAGCTTCTTGGCCATACGCCTTATTTTTCTAAGTTTTATTTTTTGGGGAATTTCCCTTCTTTTCCTGTTATTACGTGACATCCTTAATGCAAGTTGACAGCAGTTTTAACACTAAATATTTTGATCAGGGGGTGAAGGTGTACACTAGGATATATTCACTTCTCAGCCAACAACTGAACAAATAACTCAATACAGCATCTTTAATCTGAAGCAGGTTATTTTTCACCAACAGCTCAAACTGTTTCTACCATCACTAACTTAAATCACAAGTCCTCATTATGTCACATTCACTTATCAAGAGGGAAAATGATTACCCCATTGTTTGCCTTACTAATTTGTTAATTCGGTGTTGTGTAACACAGGGATACTTGTTATACTAGTGAGGCTGAGTTTAAGAAATGTGAACTGGGTACAGAAGGGAATTTATTTTTTAATAAAAAATACCCGCTTATGCTCAAACAACTAGTGTAGGTCTGTGTTGGTGTGCTGATCCGTGTGAGTGACAGCTTTTAATTAATGGTCTTGTAAAAGGAAACCCAGGTGGGCCCTCTCTTCCATAGGCTGGCCGAATGAGGCACCCAGTGTTCGGGGATGGTTTATTAATGCTTTGACTGGTTAGCCCAGGGTAAAAAGGACAATTAGCATTATCCACCGCCATATGCTGCACATTGAGCTTCTGACAGAGGCAAAAGACAAAAGCCCGGGCTCCTGACCTGAGATCTCCATGGAACTACTATCAACCCTGGGCACATGTGTAAACCAGAAGACCCATGAGAGCTCCACCCCTCCCAGAGCACTTTAATTACACTCCCAGGCAACAACATGCTGGAGTCCAGCTCACTCAGCAAAGCCACACAGCACTGCGTCTCACTCAGGCTGCACTCTGTATTGATATTATGTTCACATGTGTGCCGTGTGTGCGAGCAAATTAATTTATATACTTTGGTTTTGTGGCACATTTTCCATCAGCGCTGTGTCATAAAACAAGTTAAGCAAGTAAACAACCTTTGTGGCCGTCATCACATCCGCAGCCATTAGGAACCAAACTCTCTTCCAACGCGGGCTGGAAATGTGCAGGTGGAATCGAGCTGGCAGGTCTGGCTCTGATTAGGGTCATCCAGTCCTGTCTGTGGGACGATGAGTTTGTTTAGACCTCCTCTCTCGCATGCTCCGTCTTTCTCTCTCACCCTGCCTCCCTCCGTCTGGAGTGGATGAAGTCAGGGACCACATCACTGGTGTTTGGCCTCCAGTCTCTTTGATCCTCCCGCCTTGCTTGGCACACACACAGCTGTACAACAGCATGCCCATTGTGCCTCTCCTCTCACTGTACCACCACCAGCTTGCAGGTAGAAATATGAGGAAAGCAGAGCAGGCTGTTTTTGTAGCACTCATTTGATTTCTGCCTCTCTGGGAATGCTGTAATTTGTCAGGCATTTAGTCTACGCATGTAATTGGGTATCATTATATTTCCATTAGAGGTTGCTCTGAAATGCAAATACCCCTGATAATCCACTCCTCTCCCCAGCTTGATTGCTTGCTTGTCATTAAAGTGTGTTTGTGGTTTTTAGGGCTGTATCTGCAGTACATGTGTTTTTATCACATACTTTTATGTACCCAAAATCTTAATTGTGATATTTAACATGAATTAAGATTCAAAACACGACTTGTTTTTTATAGGTTTCAGCGTCATCATTCTTCACAATAGTGTTACATTATGGCGTCACTGTGTGGTGATCACATCTTACTAATCACATTTATGTTCTCACGGCAGGTGTACGCACCATCTCCAAACTCAGAAGACTTCAACAGAGATGCACCTTCCTACTCTTCTCCTAAACCCTCCAGCAGTATGTTCGCAAACACGTTCTTTGGTAAGTTCAAAAGCGTGTTTACAATCCGATTCTTACACCACAGGTCTTATCAATTCTACTCTTATATTCCAATATTTTATGTTTTTGTTTTGAGTCGATAAAGTCTTTGTGTTACTATATAAAATTGAGGTCTATGCAAAGTATGAAGTAGGGTTTTTTCATGGGGCTTGTTTTTTAAGAACATAATTTGTAAATTTGTCATCATTTCATCATCGGTGTCAGTTATCACAGTAACATGCAAAAGGGTAGTTTACAATAATAAACTGAAATGATTCGTGTATTATCTTCAGATGGCACCCACAGTTCGTCTGACCCTTGGAACTCGTCCAATGGGATCAGTCAGCCCGGCTACGGAGGAATGCTCGCCGGATCTTCATCTCACATGCCACAGTCAGGAAACTACGGCAGCCTGCACTCACACGACCGTTTGGTAAGCAGCACCTCTCAGCTGGTGATATAGCTAATATTGTAAGCATACAAACGCAAGTGATAAATGATTGTTATTAACTTTATTTTGCATCATATTAACATAAGAGATCTAATGTGTACAGCATGTCAATTATTTTTCAGCCCTCCACCCGCTCGCAGTTAGTAGAGTGTGTGTGCGTCTTAAGTTGTTGTCTGGATATTATCAGTGAAGACACTGCTGACCCTTTTTGTCAGTGTTTGATCTCCGCCTGCCTGCCTCAGCTGGCTGGGCATCACAGGGAGCCTGCAGATGCTGCCTGCCCTCTCTTTATCTCTGTCCCTCCCCCCAGTAACTTTTGCTTTATCACAGCGCGGGAGATGTCAGGCTGAATATACAATTCAGGGAATAAATAAGCTCTCTCTCTCTCACACACACACACACACACACACACATACATTTACATTTGTGACTGAAAAAATAGCTTTTTTTTGTATGTTTTTTTTTATCTTCCAGAATTACCCCGCACACTCAGTCTCTCCAGACATCAATGCCAGTCTTCCTCCTATGTCCAGCTTCCACCGAAGCAACCCCAGCACTTCGCCATTCGTCACCGCAGCACACACCACGTCCGTCAATACAGTCGATGGGGTCATGGGTAAGTTCTCGTGTTAACAGCTCAGCTACCTGCTCACTGACTAATTCAATGCCTCCGATGTAATCAACACTGGACATCCATTCTGTAAAAGTAGTGAGTCAGGCAGTTAGACAGCTGCTTTGTACACCGTGACCACTCGTCATTTGTCTGAGTTTGCTGTCACAAAGCCTCCCTGTGTTTTCTTAGCTGCTGCAAATCGGGGGACCACCACTGGAAGCTCACAGACTGGAGATGCATTGGGCAAGGCTTTGGCCTCGGTGAGTTACAACCCCACATTTAACTTGGACTTCAGTTTATTCTTTCATGCCATCAATGAGTGTGTTTCAAAGCGCACTAGTATCCTGGTTTTGGGTGTTGTCCTTGTTCAGGATATGATGTTTGCATGGAACGAGAGAAACCTGGTGATTCATATCACTATGTATGTGATTCTAACAGTATTCAAGTTTCTGATAATCACCATCTTAGTCATCATGTTCAGCACCAACAAAGAACGTTCAGAAACATGGTTTAGGTGTTTACATGCCACAGTATCCTGGTTTCTTTTGGAGTACTCCAGGTAGCATAATCAGGTTTCTCAAAACCAGGATATGGGGTTTACATTGGCAATATGTGACAGGCATACTCGGAAAAACCTGATCATAGCCAGGATACCCGAACACATGTAAACACACTCAATCTGTCTTAAGCATTTGCTGTCAACCACACAGAAGTCTCTGCACCTCAAGTCTGACCTGCTCTCAGAGTCTCATGTCTTCTCTGCACTTCCCTCAAATTATTTTGGATTTCTCTGCAAAATAAAATAATGGTCCGTTTTCTGTCTCTAAAGAAGTTGACCTCAGTAATCATGCTGGGAATTAAGTGCTATACTGACTGCTGATTAAAAAAACGTTTGTAGTTGTTTTTTTGGCCTAAGCCTGGATAATTGTGGGCTTAAACTAAGAGCATTCAAGAAAGGGAATTGTACATTGGAAATGCTCCTAAAGCCAGTGGATTACACTTCACTTTGGAAAACCAGACATGAATATCTGTGACATCCTGTCATGTATCATATTAAGTGTTTAATTTGCTGTAGGAAATGTGTCTTGCTTACTTGCTTACACACATCAGCTGATCGATTCAGTCTCTTTTATGTACAACGGAGCCCTAAAGCTCCATCATATCATAGTAGCAGTATAAGAGAAACTATTTAACAACATACTCGCTTCACTCAGTCCTCATTTTCCACCTAGGAAATTTGCCCATTTATTAAAAAGTAAATCAACAGGTTTAACATTTAACCTTAAACCTAAATTTGAGTGAACAGGTATATGTGACAGAGCTGAAACACAGGGAGTAACTCTTTGAACTGATCAAAATGACAACGTCTTAAATTGTATAGAAATGTAGAAAGTATCCTTGAAGTTAGCATAAAATAATGGGCAATACTTAGCTTATCCCAGTACTTCCCTTCACAGGTCCCCAAACGGTCTAATTGGAATAATATTCTGTCTGTATTTGTATTTGTTTCCATATATCAGATTGGATATCAGATATATCAAATATATATCAAATTTGTTTTAAATTCTGCTTTATTACATGCTGCTTTTGAATCTTTCAAACAAATGTCCTTAGATTCTGTTAAACATAATAATAATTAAGCGTAGACATAATTTGTGCATTGACACTGGTATTGGATTTTGCAAAATCCAATACCAGTGTTATTTTTTACACGCCCCAGCAGAAGAAGCTTTACGTTCAGGGGGGATATCTGTCATCAGTGTAAAGACAAACTATGAGAGTTTGGGGATGCTAATAACAAATTAAGTCCTTTATATTTGCAGACTCAATTCTATTAGCATGACAAAGCAGGAGTGAAATGGACCCGGTTGGACTGGGGTGGGGGTGGCTGGATGAAGCAGGGGGCACAGGGGAGTTTATAACTGCTGTGGCTCAACTCCACGGGCCGCCCTTTGTAGAGCTTTTATTCTTCGCCCTTTTAAATTGGCCGTGCTTATTGGCCCCATGCCGCCTGCGGGAGCGTGACTGATGATGAGGCGAGGCTTTCATTTATTCCAGTAAAATAAGCCATGTTTCATTTTGAATGCAGCGTTAGTAGCCAGTGAGTGAAAAGAATAGAAAGTCATATATTGTCGGGTCAGACGTCGCGGTAATAAACAGCTGGCTTTTGAGAAACTGAGAAATATTGGGATATATCTGTTCTCAGAGTGTAGAAAAGCAAAGATAGTCTTTTCTCCCTTTCGACAACAGTCAATCCCTCCTCCTCTACACTTCAATGTAACCTCCATCCTGATTCTCCAAGTTGATTGAAAAAGTTAAGCCCAGAGATCAAGATTGAATAAGGAGATTATTAATAATGAGTGCATTCTATCATCCCGCAGAAGTCAGACGGTTTCCTGCGAGCTCAATTTGATCTTAACTTGGAGGAGAAATCTCTGTGGATCTGCGTTTTTTTCTCTCTGCTAATTAGTCAGGATGCACCAGTAATACCCTGAGTTCCCATTATGGCACAATATCCTCTTATTACAGGAGGGGAAAAAACAGGGATGTGAGGGATGTGTTTGTGCTTTAATCCAGCATTTGTTTAAACAAGTGAAATCCCTGTGGAAGTTCACGTAATCTCCTCGTTCCCTTGTGATTCACATATCATCCTGAAACACAATGACCTCGTATGTAACCAGCAAAGGATGCATTGACACAACGACGTTAGTGTAGAAAAAACACTGTAACTCAACCTTTACTTGTGGCAGAAAACCAAGGCATCTGCACAGTTGACCTCTTTATAGAGTTTACAAACATACAGAAATACATCATTTGAATCATACTAGATTTTGATATATGGTTCACAATACAGTATCTGGTGCAGCCCTTTAAGGTTTACTGTCATTGGCTGAACAGGGTAACAACCTGTTACATTTGTTTATTTATTGAATCATTGAGATATGAGCATTTCAGATACATTCATCTTTGTTTCCTGTAGTGATGAGGGGGATTGAACTTTATACTTTAAGTAAGGTGTCACTGTAGTATTCATATGTGTTACATGCACAATACTAATGTTTTTTATAAATTGACACTAAATGTTGACTTGAATTAAAAAGACATATAAGAAAAGCATTAATGATGAATGCTACTTTTCGCTCTTGCTCTCTGCTCCTACAGATTTACTCTCCTGACCACACTAGCAGTAGTTTTCCATCCAACCCGTCGACACCTGTGGGTTCTCCTTCACCTCTGACAGCCACAGCAGGTGTCGCCTCAGCAGGCACTGTGGGGACTGCTGCCGGCCCCCCGTCTGGAAGGCCAGGTAGAGCACCATTGTTGGATTTTAATCACATACACACCTCCTATGCAGCAACACCGGATATTAACAGTAGAATAGAACATGTACTTCTCTAAAACTACTTTATAAGTTTCAGTGACAGACAGAATTACTGTAGGCCTCGACCTGGAATAGCCAAACTAATTCAGAGGCTTTCATGAAGATGGCTTTCTATTAATTTAATTACTTTTACTATGTGGTGCATTAGTTGGATTAATTAAGCCTAAGCAGAGTGAAGTGTGGAGTTTTCCCTAAAACTTAATTTAATACCCCTTTTAGTTGTGAAGGAGCTCTAATCATTCTCTACTCATTCTCAATGCTTTATCTATGCCAGGGCAGTTAATGGCCTTATAAAAAAAAAAAACATTAATCCATTGTAAAAGAAAGCTTACATTAGTCTTGAAATTGTACAAAAAATGACGCTTTTTTATTTCATTAAATGTATTTGTTGTATGCACAACAAACATTAATCTCACGCAAAGAGAAGAGATGCTTTGTACTAGAGATGTACTGATCCAGCTGGATGGAGTATCGTGACAATGTGCCCATCTGGTATTGAATGACATTTTACTGATAAATAACAATTCAGTACATTTATATCTATGTATTTATTTGTTGTATTTTATTTTACAAAGTTAGGAAAGCAGTGATTAAGTCAAGCCTGTTGTTTCTGCACACATAAGAGAATGATCCCAGTCTCTTCTACACCGTGAGGCATACAGCTGATTAATTAAGCTCGGAAATCAAACCGGTGCTCGGTATCATCCGATACCCAAATCTCAGGTATCGTAAAAAGTCGGATGGGTGCATCTCTACTTAATACCAACTCTACGTTGTTTAGGCTACTTGCTGCTTTCTATCTGCGGTCCCTGAGCTCACAAAGGGATGTGAGTTGCACTAAATGCATGAAATTCATGTTGAAGGTAAAAATTACACCTGCACCTTAAAATGGTGCCTGATTGGCTGGTTCACTGTCCACAACACAAATCTTTATTTTCATGACCGAGGGAGCTGCTCCGCATAGACACCCTGTGACATCGTAGACCAGATTTGGCTCTCAGATTTTTAGAAGGTCCTTGTTCATGTTCATGAATTGATATCTAGCTGAAGTGTTTTTGGAATAACATTTAAGTGTTGACTCAGACAGGACTTTGTTTTTAAGTGATGGAAATTAAGTTTTAATGACAAGTCCTGGAATGACAGTGTAAATTGAAAAGACTGGGGCTGTGGCTTTGACGGTGCTTAAGGATTGTAAAATGTTGTAAAAAGCTTTTGAGATGTATTTTTGGTGGTAGATTTATTATTACATAATCCTTTTTTCCACACAAGTGCTTGGCAGTTTGTGTTTTATGTCTGCTTACATTTTTGAGGATGGACAAGCCTCCATCTGAATTTTATTTTTTATTGTTCAATAAATGCAAGAGGACAAACCCATACAGTTCAGAGAGCAGAGGAGGTTCCTGTTTGTGAGAGACTGGGTGTTCACAGTAAGAAGAGATGTGTATAAGAAGAATATGGATTGTCAGACGTGTTGACAGAGGTGAGAGAGTAATGGAAAGTGAACGAGGGGAGACAGTAAGGGAAAGCCCAGCGTGTTGTTTTAACGGGCAGTTGTGTCATGTGCTGTAATGGAGTGGTGACAGCTGTCTCTACGTATGCCCCCCCTCATCCTCAGCTGTTGCCCTGCCCCACGGACAGCTGTTGTCCCCACACACATACACACACACACACACACACACACACACACACACACACCATGCACACAAGTACCCAGACCAGGCTGCAAAAGGCCTCGTTTATCTGCCAATGGATGAAGAAGGGTCGCTGTGACTCAGCTGACGATGAGGATTATGACGGCCTCACCAAGGGAGATCCCCCCTTTTGACCTATTTACAGTACAGCATGCCACCACACCTGGCAGCAAAACAATATCATTTATAGTCCAGTTTATGTTGTAGTATGCAGTGTTACTAGATGTTCTAATCAGTGTTTTTATTTAACATAAGTAGTCAAGTTCAGTGTTTATTTTAATTAATGTAAGAAATAGGAAAACACATTCTGCAAAATGAATACTTTTGGGATCGTAGGAAATGGATATTGTGTTGCTAATTATTCACTCTCATTATGCTTCTGTGGTTAGAAAAAGAACGATACTTTAAAATTGGCACAACATTTTGGCTCGCTGTTGAAAATCTATTCATCATTAGGATTACACCAATAAACAGCACATAACTCAAGACTGGTTTGTTCAATTAGCCCTCTCCTGTGCTCATGGGAAACGGAGAACAGAGATAATTTTTCATAGCCGCCAGCCAGAAAGAGGCTCATGTGAAGCTTCTGTCTCACTCACCTGGGAGAAAGCTGATGTTTAATTTCCTCTGTCAGAGTCTCTTTTAATAGTCTGTTAATTAAAGTCTGATTTAGGCTGTGAGTGTAAAGAAACATGAAAACTCCTGTACAGAAGTTTAGTGAGACATTTCACGGGAAAGAATTAAGACAAAAACATATTTCAAACCATTTCTCGAGTCAAAAATATACATTTGCTTTCTTTTTATGTCAGCGTTATTGTGCTGCTTTTGAAAACCATGGTTCTAAGTTATTATGTGTTTTGTCTGACTACATAAGCCTTAATTTGTAAAAACAAACAAACATTGAATTAGTCTGCGCACACATGGGACTCAAATACCATTCTACCCTTTGTAGCCTTGCTATTATAAGAAGAATGAGGTTTTTTAAATTTACCCTACAGGATAGATAACCAAAAGAAAATCTCCATCTGCAGAGTGTGCTACAGTTGAGTCCATTTGCCGGGATGTAGGTTGGGTTTGGCATCCCTCCACCATTATAGACACAAGAGGAGCTCTGTGTTGGAAAGATCCACACACATCCTATCCTGTGAATAACCTGGAAAGGTGCATTATTGTCCACTGAGGTTATTCGATTGTATAATGCATTGCCTCCTGTTGCACATGGCAGGCAGGTTACATAGACGATTGAGCTTTCGAAAAAGAGAATGAAAGAAACGTTGAACTGGAAATGTGATGAGCAGATGTAGATTCCGTGTCCTTTGCACTAATTTACACCAGATCAAATCAGCTTGATTTGCTTTCCTGTTCTCGCCTGTAGATTTACTTTTTGGCTCAAATAAATGAACAAAATCCACTGGGAAGTTCCTCCCGGCAAAGGTAAATTGTAATTTCAAGAGCAGAGTGCCTTATGTTTCTCTATATTTAAATTACATGATTAAAATGCAAGATTTTTCAATTTGAATGAAAAGAGGAAGAATTCAGCAGAATACTTGGCTAAATGGGATGTATTGTTATAAATGGAATAATGGAACCCAAATGTTTCCAGATGTGTATGCTGTAAAATACATTGAGACCAACTAACTGTACTGCCACTGCATCACTAGTCAAATCAATGTTTGACTGACAAAAAACTAAAAAGAAAGATAACTCGGCAACACTGGAAAATGTCGTGGAAAACTAAGAGCTTTATTGAACCCAGATGTTTGGCATATTTCCTTCATCAAATCCCCTGATGAAGGCCATGAACCGCATTTTTTTTAGATCACTCTGATGTGTTTCGAGACTCAAACTTTCCTGGAAAGAGGGAGTGTTAAGGAAAACTAGTGTCTAAAATCAGATCTCTCAATTTTGTAGCTCAATCTTGTAGCTTTGCTTGTAAATGTGCAGATGCAGCGTACATTTCAGGGTGGAAGTGGGTATTAAACAAACCCTCCACTGGCTCGTGTGTCAGGATGCAGTCCAGCCATCAGGAAGTGATGCAACTGAGTCGTAAAAAAGATCAAAATATCCCACATACAACAACAAGAACCCAGAAAATCAGGATGTCAGTATGTTATGACTGCGTGTTATTGTGTGTGTCAGTTAGCTTTTGTGGTGTACCCAGTGGAGCAGGATACAGCCATCAGCCATGTTAATATGAAACTGCATCAGAGGATTGCTAAAGCTTCCTTAAGATCTCTTCCTCTCTTCATCAGGTACCAACCAGTGGTCCCGTGCTGGTGGACAAACACCCTCCTCTCCAAATTACGAGAACTCTCTTCACTCACTGGTAAGCTCCCTGTCTGCCTCCCTCTGATATGATGGATGCTCACTTTGGATAACACGGGAAGGACTGAGCTAGCATTTCAGGGAGATTCCTGCTTGACAAATGTTTTGCTGAGGAAGGTGGGGGTAGAGGGATAACCAAACTGAACAATACCTGTCCCTTGGGGGCTTGCCATCTGTCCTCCACTCCGTGGGCCAGGACGGGGATGACAGTTGGGGGATGGGTTTAGTTCAGGTTGCGGGTGTTGGGGTGGCAGCTGTTTGCTGAACAATTTCTCCGGGATTCCTTCGCTGCCATGCGACCAGAACTGCAGATCACCTTTCATCCAGCCTACTACCTGATGCAAATGTCAGGCATTTACATTTTCTGCTGGGAGGTTTATTATTGCTAAACATACAATATGCTATAAATGTAGCAATACAGACAAATAAAACAAAACTGTGTTTGCCCAAAACCACCACCATGGTCCAAGTCAAAGCAAGATTCAAGGTTATTTTCTAAATGTTCTCATTGATCATTTAACTTATTTAGCCATGTGTTTACTACAGTAAACATATTAAAACCCAGACAGGTGTTTTGTTTTGTACAATCAATTAAAAGAGTTTTCGGGGACATGCTGCTGCAGAATCCACGCTCATTGTTTGAGACAGTTTACTGCTTGTTATTTGTTAGATATAAACTGCGGTAAGCATCAACTTCTTGCTTGTTGAAAAACAACAACTTTTGGATAGGTGACCCTAAAATCTGTGTGAAAATCACTTTATATTTTTCAAGTCTAAGCTGTAAAAATGGAAAACATTGAGCTTTGGGAATGCCTAATCTTTATGCCCAATGACTCCCGAGCCATTTAGGCTCATAAGTGGCCAAATATAATTTAAAAAGATTCCATTACAGTTTTTAATGAATAAATTATTCCACTGTCTAAACATGTGGTTTGAGGATTAGATTATAGTCGAAATTTGTAATCTTGTGAGGGAATATGTTGTCATTAGTTTGAGACTTATTTGTGATCATTTCTGTAAAGTATCCGGCTTTGATAATCCACAAAACATTTGTTTAAAGTTGCCTCGTTGCTTCATTTCACTTGAGTATAGTGAAAGGCACAGCTTTATATAATGAATATAACAATGCATAGTAATATTATGTATGATATTTCTATCACCTAAGGGTGATACTGGACAATGGTGAAGGCAGCCTTTACCAACAATGACATTTATTTCAATAGAGAAATACAATGTGACACTTGGGAGCCACTGCTGTACATTTTTGTGATTTGTATTAATATAATGTGGAGGATGTGAACTTTGTGTAACACCTCCTACAAACCCCCCAAAAAGGGGACTAGACCAATACTGTAGACGTGGTTATTAAATATGCAAACATCCTTTCAAAGTGACTGGTCAGCATCTGTTTGCTTCCTTCCAAATCCTGCTCTTCTTGTCTGTGTGTCTTTACAAAAACAATCTCTATCCACAGTGTGTTTCTAGTGTTTATAGAAACTGATCTTTTTTTCATAATCCTGTCTTATTCTTATTTGACTTTGCCAGAAAAACAGAGTTCATCAGCAGTTACATGAGCATCTCCAGGATGCCATGTCTTTCTTAAAGGATGTCTGCGAGGTACTCCTCCAATAGAGTCTTTACTCATTACGTGTCCCATGCGTCTTTGCATTCCTCATTTTGTTTTTGACTTGCAGTCCACTTACCTCACTGTGTAATGCAGTTTCATCTTTATTGCCTTTGTTGCCGTATTGTCATGGTAGCGGTTCCAGCTTGCAGTAATCAGCTTAAGTTATTCTTAAAAGTTAAATACTAAATTAATTGTTGAAGCACCCCTGATGTGCATCTGTCAATTATTCAGTTTAACAGAAATGAAGGCATTTGTTTGACTTTTACAACTCAAGCTGAAACAGCTCAATTGATCTTGCATTTGAATTGCCTTCTTTATCTTGTGTTTCAGATGGTTTTTTTCTTTTTAAGTCCACACCATACAATCAGTGTTTTCAATTTTTGTCCTAATGTGCTTATACTAAGCTTCTCTGTCCTTCTTTTCCTCTCTTCTCTCTCTCCCTAACCCTTCGCTCTCCAATCCCTCTGGTATTCCCAGTCTCGAATGGAGGATCGTCTGGACAGACTGGACGATGCAATTCTTGTTCTGAGGAACCATGCAGTGGGCTCCACCGCCAGTCTGCCCAGCGACATACACAGTCTGCTGGGACAGCCACAAAATGGGCCAATAGCAGCCCTCGGAGCAAACTTCCCTGCTTCTGCATTGGTTTCAAGTCGGACAGCAGCGATGGTATGAGAACTTCCTACAAGTGTTTATATCTTTATTTTTATATAGATATTGCAAAACGCGAGGGAGAAAACATTGGTGTAATCCTTCATGTTATTTCAAACTTCACAACGCCACCTGTTCAAAACAGGTCCGCTGTGTAAAAACGAGACATTTTCCTCACTTGAACCCTGAATTTACCCTGACATATTTTCCATAAGTGTCATGGCCGGCCTGAGGCTCACCCTGCTCTTGAGAGGAGCTGTATATACAAGGGGGAAATAGAAATGAGAAAAACAGGCATAATCGAGTAAAGTTTCGTGTGGGAAGTGTATGTTGCTCTAAATCTCTTGAGAAACAGGAGAATGCAGGTCTTATTATAAATCATGACTTCATCTGAAGTATTTCATTCTAAAGAGCCAAGAGATTTGAAAACATCTGCTGTGGAAATTAAAATGTGGCGGCTCGTCCAACTGTAATCCAGAGGTGATTGGAAATAATCATTTTCACACACAAACAAAATCAATGCTGAATCTGTTCTAAAGAGTTCAGATAACGTATCTGGAAAGATGGAAACGATGAAAGAAAGAGGTCATAGAAAATGAATCATAAACATGAGGAATCATTTTTATATCACTCATTTTAAGTCCTCTGGTGAAAACGATGTCCTCTAGTTTTGCTCTTAGACAAAGACAAGCAGCAACTCCTTCGACTAGGAAACTGTAACCAGAGAATATTTAGCATTTTTGCTTAAAAAAAGTGAATTAAATGACGCAGATTAATTTCTTTCAGCTGTAATACTGTTATATTTTCCTTTTTAACCCAGTCCAGGCATTCAGCTGATGAATATAAATATTTTCTTCTGATGTCCATTTTAAATTTAGTGCAACAAAAAGGAAGAATGAATCGTGTTTTCATTGAGGCATAAAGATTTCTTTGTGTTTTGTTGGCATGATCATCAAAGCTGCACTGTATTTTGGTCCAACTTTTAATCAGGATTTTTTATGGCCCTCTCTGGTCTGTGGTCTCAAATCTCATTTGTCAACTTTAATTTATTTTGAATACAGTTTATTTTGAACAGAGTTGAATGTTCCCTGTTTGTTGTAAGGCTCTGTGTTTTCATTCTGGTGCTAAAGTTGTTGGATCTTTCAGAGTGACTTATTTTGTCCCCTAACAAGAATTCCCCTGTGGTTGTCAGAAGAGCTCAGTTTGATGTATTTGTTACAGAGAGCTCGGTTGTGGCAGTGATGTTGACCGACTGCGACTGTGAGATAGAACATACTGTGTCTGCACTAACACAGCGCTTCTTGTGTGGGAAGAGGTCCACTCAGACAGAGCTCACCAGCCTCGGCACGGCACAGCCACAGGCTTTTTACTCCGGCTGACACCCTACCCTCTACCCCCTTCCACTCCTTTTCATCACTTCTTTTTAACAACCCAGGAAATCTGAATCGCTGGAAACGTGTGTCTGAACCCGCAGCCTCCACCCAAATAGAGGTCCTCAGCTGTATGGTAATCAGGCCCAGCCATGAAAATGGCAGCGTTCTTTTCTTGCCAGAGCCCGGCTTCCCTCCTCCTCCTCCTGCAGACAAAGAGTTGTTTGGACACCTGTTGAGAGCACAGCAAAGATTAGCTTAGTGCTGAGGAAGGGGAGGGTCTCGGGGTGGTGGGGTTAACAGAGGCCAACAGTGACTGGGGATCACATTCCTTTAAGAAAAGGAGGGGACACCCTCCACCCATATTGACAATTTCCCCGCCTTTCTCTGGTTCTCAGAGGGGAAATCAAATAGCTCAAGAACATGTGCTGAACCTCAGGAAGGAGGGGCTTTGTGGTACAACTCGATGGGAGTTGACCATTTTTATGTTATGAATGTGGACTAAATAAGTGTGAAATATTCAGACTGCTGAGTGGGTTCAGTTCGACATCTGTTGAAGCACAACACAGAAGGATTTGTCTTATTTTAAACGTGAGAAACAGACGTGGTTGTAGTTGTGGTTCCAGAGAGCTGAGCCTGAGAATGCAACCCGTGGTTATGTTTTCTACAACATACATGTGAAGCAAAGTGGTGAAGCAAGTCACCAAAGCAGCAGTGTTGGGAATAACATGCTTGCATGTAATATTAGAGACTGAACATTTTGTTTGCAAAATAAATTCCAATATATACAGGCTGTCAAATAGTATCCTATCTAAATGTTAAAACACTTAAAATCCTTGACCTGTGTGGATCTACTTTACTACAGAATATCTATCAGAATATTATCTGCCATGGCACCTAAGGTTTATTGCTCCATCTTTGGCTCTTACTAATCGCTATTCTCTTGCTCAAAATTATAGTTTTATGCATCGTCTCCAGAGAATGTCTGCTTCCTTTCTTTACAATGTCCTTCCTGTCTGTGTTGCAACAGGGTGGTGCCCACGCTGACGATGCCGCCAGTCTGAACAACAGCCATGGAGGTCTTCCCAGCGCTGGCTCCACATCCAGCACAGAACTTTTGGAACACCAATTGGAAACCTTCAGAGGTCCAATGCGCCCCTCAGTCTTGTCAACTCATTATATGACTGACAGTTTATGTGTGTGATGTCTTACCTTTGCGTTTACATTGTCTACTGCAGGTCTTGCTTCAGCCCTGGCTGGCCACTTGCCTGCTGCTCTGGAGCTGAAGGTGGAGAAACAGGACAAGGATGACATGAATGATAACCTCTCTATCGATGACAAATCAGATGATGAGAGTGACAGAAGAGATATGAGGACACCCAGAGCAGGCACACGTACGAGGTAAGAACATGTTGAGATACAAACAAACAAAATACTTCTAAAAGTAAAATAACTGATGTTTGGTTTATTAAAGGACTTAAAAAATGGCTTAAACCAGCACAAATCTTGAGGATTTTGTTTTTTTGTCCAGCAATTTACTTTGATGTTTTCTAAAGATGAAAAATGCAAAGAGAGGATAAGGCCTGAGCAGTAGCCTCGACATTGTCTACAATCAGTGACATGAATCTGTTCAGATACGGCATTACATACTATGGAGATTTAGATATTTTTATCTTCAGACTTCTATTATTCTTAGTTTGTAGTGTACGTATGTTTGTTTTTTGCTGTTGTGTGATTTTAACTGTAAAACAGTTCTTTCTCCCAAAGTATCACTGAGGACGAGGACCTCAATCCGGAGCAGAAGGCCGAGCGTGAGCGCGAGAGGAGGATGGCTAACAACGCCCGTGAGCGCCTCAGGGTGCGAGACATCAACGGGGCCTTCAAGGAGCTGGGCCGCATGTGCCAGCTGCACCTGAAAAGCGAGAAGCCCCAGACTAAACTGCTCATCCTTCATCAGGCTGTGGCTGTCATACTTAACCTGGAGCACCAAGTCAGAGGTCAGTGTCCAGCTAATGAAAGCTTTTCCATAGCAATATTGCAAATAACTGAAATGTCCATGCTACATCACATTTACTCAATACTGATTCTTTAAAATGCTTCACATAATATTCCTCCAGGCAGTAATTTCATTTTAGTGTCGCATCCAAAGAGGATACTGTAAATATGGAGATATAAATAGGAGAACTGCAGTAAACAGCTGCACTCTGATTTCTAGGGAGCTATTTCACTGACATAGCTGCCAAATATGGATAATCAGCCAAGATATCACAACACTAGAGAAACTGCTGGGAAGCTGTTCAAGAGTGAAAGCTGATGACATTCTGCTTTGCTGTAGCATTATATTTGTAGATATTAATATTGGTATGTTAAAAACGGTGTCACAATAAAGCCTGTTAATGCTACATTCATTCACTGAAATGCTGGATGTTCATGTAACTGTTTACACTTATGATGTGGTATCAAAAACAAAAAAAGAAACGGATCAAAGCTCTCACTATTTTAAGAAAAGTGGCAGAAAAGTTTGATTTCGGTCTCTCTGAACCCACAGAGCGGAATCTGAACCCCAAAGCAGCTTGCCTTAAGAGAAGGGAGCAGGAGAAAATGTCCGGGGGTTCCGGTGACGCCCAGCAAGCCAACACAGGGCTCCATCCAGGCCTGACTGACGCATCTAACCCCATGGGCCACCTCTGAGCAGCAGACAGGTACTCTCAACCCAAGAGCTGCAACCAACCGTTGTTCTCAATATTGATTCATTTGAGGATTGTTGTCTCAAACAATTGATTATCAATCGTCAGTAATTTTTACCTGATACTTTCTGTTAACGGATGGAATTTCTTGTAATTTTTATTATTATTTTGTCTTTAGCAAAAAAAAATTGGATTTTATAAAAATGTTTTGATTCCGTCATCAAATGGTAAAAACAATTGTCCATCACAATTTCCGGACAGTGTCGTCTTCAAATTGCTTGTTTTTTCAACCAACAGTCCAAAACCCGAAGATATCCTGTTTACAATAAACATAAACCAATAAAAGCAGCATGTTTTGGAGAAGCTAGAACTTGGTAATATTTGGCACTGCTGCATGATAAACAACTTGTGATTAATCAATTAGTTGCAGGTAATTTCATGGTCATCGATAAAATGGATTAATTGACTAATTGTTTCAGATCTACTCACCTCTTCTATAAATATGTGAAACAGCACCAACTGCACTTTAGAATCAACCATTCGTCATCATTTTGAACCAAGGTATATAGAAGTTGTTTTGTGCCTTGTCTGATTATTGATGTGCACCTCACCTCTGATCAGCGTATTTCCCCCTTCGTCTCTCCAGATCAAATCGATCCACATCATTTCTGTCCCGCTTTGAGTCGGTGACCTTGCTTCCCAGTGACAGACAGGACTCACAGTTTGTAACACCAATCGAAGGAGACAGACCACTTGAAGCAAATCTACGAGACTGACACAATCGAATCCAAAAAGATTGAAGAAGAGCCAAGCGTCCAGCTCCCTGTGACCAGTTTCCATCTGCAAATTTCTCCCCACCTCAAAGATAAAAATCCTCAGCACATATCACTGTCTGCAAGAAGAACAATCCGAGACTTCGCGATCTCCTCCAACCGTTAGTGGAAATTGCCTTGTGCCTAAACTGAATTGACGAATGCATTGTAACAGCAACTGTTTTTGTTTGTCTGTTTCTTTTTTTTCTATTTATTATGTTATTGAGCTATAAAGTGTACGTCTAAAGGGAAAGTTGAGCAAATTCGAAGAGAAGTATGGTGATTTTCAGTTGATCTGCAGTTTGCCAGGGTCACCATTAATACTGAGCACTCCACCCTGGTAAATATTTGGCGAGTCCGAGATGAGGGGAAAATATTTAGGCACTGAGAAGATTAATTTATTGGCCAGTTGAGAGGGATATTTATACCCAACTGAAAATTATCATTAGTTAGAAATGAAGACGCACGCGCCCCATTTAAAAAAAAGGAGGATTTTATTTATATTTATATTTTATTAATTCTGCCACTGGCCACATGTGTTACCAAAACTACCTATGATTGTTTCTGTGTAGTTTAGATCTGTTTCTGTGCTGCTAACCAGCAGAATAATTGGCCCGACTACGTAAGCATAAACAATATTGTCTAAAAGGTGACGGATGGCGGATGGCAAACTCAAGGTTTACTGAAAGCTCAGATGTAGGCGTGTTCTTCTTCCTTGGTAGTGAACAGTGAAAATAAAGTGAGCAAACTATTTGCAAACCTTAGCATTCCCTGCATATTGTTAGTGTCTTAACTAAAAGAAAGGGGACTTCTTTCCCCGTCGCTTTGCCATATAGTGTTAAACGTAAGCCGTGACATATTTTAGCAGATTCTTGTCTTTGTTCAGCCTCATTTACATGCTCCTGACGTCAGCACTGATTTGGCTTGTTTTTGTCATTTTCCTGCCGCCAGCTAATCAGATTAGTTTAAAATGAAAAAACCAACGACGACCACACTTTCTCGTGGCCTGATGAACACGTCACTTATTTTTCTTTCTGTTAATATTTCAAGACCCTACAGTTCAAATGCAGTTATTCAGTAAAATTGTATTGATGCGTATTTGTCTTGTTGCAAGTTATGTCTTAAGGCTTCCAGCATTATGATGTCCAGTTTCAGTGGAGAGAACGTTTTCATTTATGTTTTCATCAAACATACAATAAGCCAGACTAGATATTTATATGCATTTTGTTGAATATCATGGAACCGTAGCACAATAATGAACATCGTTCATATCTTTAATTTGTTTTCCTATCTGGGTGCATGCTTTATGTTTGTCTTTGGTCTTAAGACTTGCTTTATATTCCATTTATTCCTTTGTATATTGTCTTCTATCATTATCTACACCATAAACAAGGTTGCCACATTCAGAATTAATATTCTGTACAAAAAAGGGACTTAAATTAGAATAAAGGATGCCACATTAAGAGTTTACACTAAAGATGTATGATTTAAAAACGTTTTTGAGAAGAAGAAAAAAAAAAACATTTTCATGTATTTTCTGACTGAATGTGACCTTGTTCTTCATTTCAGTATTCATGAGCTTGTATTCATGTTGGCAGACTTTGATTGAGGGAATAGTCACTTCCTGCTCTTATTCTTAATTTCCTGTTCTTGCGATGTTTCTTTGGTCCTCTGCTTGCCGAGTTAGACTTTGCTGTATTCCAAGATGCTTTCCCTTGTATAACATATAAGAAAAATGAAAATCAAAAGAAAAAAAATTGGCCTATTTTTCACTGTAGTTAGTCTTTTATACAATAATACTGTAAGAATATTTCTTGAATTCTAAATATTACTCTTTCTAGATTTTTGAAAGCAAAAGTTTTGAGTAAAAAGTTTCTTATTTTATTTTACTATATTAGATAGTAAAACGTAGGGTTATTTACAATAGCCTGTCCATTATTACAATAAATATACAAATGGCATCTCAAGAACATAGCTGAATTGTTGCTCGTAGTCTAGTCCTTCAAAAGGCTTCGTACGAGCTCCGGATTCCTAAAACGGCGACCGTCATCTTATTGTTCAGTCTCTCGTTGTTGATTGATAAAAGATTTGTTCTTGTTTCAAATTTTGAATTTTCTGTCTTTTTCAACAGAAAAACAATGTAAATAACATTTATGTTGCAATAAATGTGCCATCTTTTTTAAAGTTGTATGTCCATTTATTTCTCTCACTGACAAAACACATTTTTTTCTGTTTCTGCTCCATCTTTGCATTTTTCCTCTCCATAGTTTTATTTTATTAAAAGGCACAGGAAGGTTAATGAGCTCAGAAACGTAGGGGGTTCATTTAGACTTCCTTATTGTTTTTGTTTTTTTTAAGACATTTCTACAGTGGATCTAGGCCAAATTAGTGTTTTTTAGTATGTAACTCATTTTTGAAAATAATATCAGTGGACCATCTGTATGACAAGTACTATGAATATATGTTTCTATTTTTAATAAAGTGTGACAGCAGCTTACTGTACATGTGCTGTGGTCCTACTTTTATAACATTTAGATTTATGCAGATTGAAGAACAGCTATGGACAGGTCCTGTATGAAAGCTCCAGCAAAAATGCACCAATATTCAAAAGGGGAAATTAAATGAATGTTTACAACACGTCATACGTTTGTTTAGTAAAGTTTCTTTTAGAGAGTGTTAATTTTAAGTTTGCTTATTTTTTACATCTGTTTTGACGTACATCATGTTAATACAGAGGCAATAAACAAACATAAATAACAAATTGATGAACTGAAACTAGAGTGGAGGTATGGCAGTGATGCAGCCATTATGAAAAGAACAAACTAATGCCTTGTGTATGTTTTTGGTGGAAGAAGCTTTCAGTCGACTGCAGTTCTCAATCTTCTACTTGTGCTTTGCCTGAAGTTAATGAATCCCAAAAGTGTTGTGTAAATGCTGCTCTAAACCTGGAGGAGTATTGTGCTGTAAATCTCAGACCCCCGTTACATCTGCACAGAATTATCCTTGCATGCAGATGTGAGCATGAGAGCACTCATTACATCCTGAGAGGTCTGATTCCAGCCCATTTTTCTGACAGAGGTGACACTCTGCCGACTGCTGTTCTGCTTATGGTGAGCTCAGTGATGCAACATAAATCATGCATGTCATTTTTCAATATTCTCTGCAGGAAGAAACAGAACGTGTGAGCATGTTGGGCTGGTGGTGGAGGGTGGGCATGTTTTCTGTAGAAGTGGGACCACCATGTCTGAAGGCTGACTTCCTGTCATGGCTGCTGGGCCAGGTGACAGAGAGTCCTTGGCTCACATCCTTGAAGCTCGACCAAAGAGCCTGCTGCTCCTCCTGCTCACAACAGTAAGATCATCCGCCTCTCAGCTAATCTCAGGATGCATGCTGCACTAAACATGCTTTTTGTCTTCTCTCCACTTTGTTGTTTTGATTTCTTGATTGAATAATCACACGGGTTAAAAATTAGCTTTTCTTCAAAGGACATTCCTATTTTCTCTATAATTTGTCCCAAATTTCTTTGTACAAGTTATTTTTTCATGGGAACTTCTGAAAACTACTACAGAATGATAAGAATATTGCAGACCGGTAAAAGAAAGTGTTACCCTTTTGTTTTTGTTTTCTGTTTCCTTTATTTTACAGCTGCATAGCAAACAGAGGCTACAGTAACATTTCATTCAAATACAGTCAAATTAGCAAAGCAAAGTATTAGTAAAGCTCTGTTTTTAGAGCCTGCATCTCAGGCTTTCTCTGATGGTTTCCTTTAATGTTTTGTTAACTGTGCTGTTGCATTTTGTATAATATCTGTGCAGAGGAGTGTCAGTGTGGATTTGTTGTTGCAAGAATCTTTGGCCACACCGCCTCGCTCCATCTCCAGCGTGAGCTAAATACGAGATCAGATGCAGTTTTCCGAATGAACATCAGCATCTGAGAGTTCTGGTTCACCTGCAAAATGTCCACTTAACGAGGCACAAAAAGACGCGTCTCTATCAGCCTTGATGTCTTGGTGGAGGGGCCTTCTACATGACAATACCCAGGGGCCCATTGTCTCATAATCTCATGATACAATCACAGTGTCTTTTGGACAAGAATAGTAACAGTATTGGTCGTTGTGGAGTTAAGGACATAAACAGCCTCTTGGTAAGTGCTGCTGCTGAACCCAGTTCTGATATTTTTCAGTGTTTTAAAAGAAAGGAGGAAGTTAAAACGATGGTTAGTGGGGTGAGTCTTTAAGACTCGTTTGTCCTTTTTGTCCAGGGACAAGTAGGACAGTAGCTCCTTGCCTATGATTTTTGATGCAGTTTGCACCACTTTGTTCTGAGGTGTTGTACACATATACGGTGAGGATGCTCTTAGTACCAGCATAATGAAATTGCATTATACCATAATATGGAAAAATCTCTAGATGTCCTAAAAAGAAAAGGTCTATGCTGAAAAGAAGAAAAAGAGGAAATTCCTGACCATTGATCCTAAACATATGGAGGTCCACGACCACGTTCATTGTTTTGGAAAGTTGTTGGCTGCACACCAGTCCACCAGGGATGAAGCCTTATTTAGCTGCCTCATTCAAAAAAAAATGTAGACCCTCTAATGGGTTTCATCTGCAATCTTAAATCTTGTATTGTTTTTTAACAGCAGACACTGTACACTGTATGTATGTTTCCAAGACAAATTCCCTTCGGGACAATAAAGTCTATCTTATATTATCTTAAACTATTTAACAGACTGAGGGAAGGAAATTCAGTTGTTTCTCCACCACATTGTCTTCAGTGGTGGCTTTTGCCTGTCACACTGGTGCAGAGCCAGTTTAGATAAACCTTTCCAACATTTTCCTGTCATAAATCAACAACGTAAAAGATGAAATCTAATGAGCTAAACGTGTGCCTCTATGACATCTCTGGTGCATGTCGCTGGAAAGCCTGCAGTCCTTCTTATAATCAGGATAAGACTGAGCTGTGTACTGAGCATGCCCAGAGGTCCCAGCCGTGGCACCTCAGCGGTGTACAGAGCTCTCATTGTGTGCTGCTGTAACCCAGCACAATACACAGTAGCAAAGAGCTCAGATTAAAGGCTGCGGTGCTGCGCGGCCTCTCTGCGGACACAAATATAAACAAAGCTACAAAGTGTATGCTGCAGTGACGAGGTGTATTACTGTAAAACATTCAGTTTATCATTGCTTCAAAATCTGAATGTCAGAATGAGCATTACAAATTAATTTTTTTTTTGCTTTTGTGATCTTGAAAGTAATTAAGTTTTACTAGAGTACTGTACTTCAGTACAATTTGTAGGTAAATGCACTTTACATGTGTATTTTCATTTTATGCTACTTTATACTTCATGGGGAAATACTTTACTTTTTATTGCGCTACATGTAAACTATGGTTAGAAGTTCCTTTGAGGATTTTTCATTCGAAACATTTGATTAATTTACTGTATAAAATACTGTACAATGCATCACTGCAGATTCAACTATCCAACAGTGTGTAGAGTAGTATTTTGAATAAACATGCTATTTTTATTTATCTGTATGTGGTATCACTGCTATTTGTAAGCAAGTAATCTGAGTGCTTTTCACTGGACTTTGTATACAAATATCAGGCTGAGATCGTGAAAGTAGGAAAACTGTGATTGTATGAAATGTTGTCTGTGAAATTAAAGGTATTTATATTGGGTCATTTCATGCAATATAAATTAACATGAATGGCCAGAAAAAAATAAAACCATTTTGTTGCCAAAATGTTCTGAGTGTATTGTTGTCTGAACACAAGCAGCCATGCAAGAATGTGCAGGAACAGGATTACAAAAGTATTCAAATTCAACACCCTGACAGGTGTTTCTAATATTTTGTTTTGAAACACCGTACAATATCATGCAATCAGATACAACACCACAAAGTACAGCCTCCCAAATCCCTGTGGAGTTAAATGAACATCTTTCTGACACATTGTCAGCATAAATAAAACATGTTACCATACAGTATGTATTACTGGACTGTGGGATTTCATGACATGTCATACAGGTGTTAATGACTTTCTGGTAACTCAGTGTTTAGCTTGAACTGTAATCTATTTCTTGTAAGAGTAAAACCTATACTGACAGAAGCAAATTCGGTTATTATTATCAATTAAGTTGTTTTAATGGTTTATTTAATAAAACAGGTTATATAAAGTATAGGGGTATGGTCCTTTTAAGATGCTGTGAAAACTAATATCACATATTGTTATTGTTCTATAAGATATTTATATAGAGTATACATCTCTCAGTGCAGCTGACTGTAAACCCTCCTCCTGCTACCACCATATTTTAAGCCATCATTTATCACTGCTCAGTGTTGTTTGCTTAGTCTTGCACTTACTCTTAAAGTACACACACACACAGCGCAGGGACTTTATTTCCAAAATAATACCCATTCTCCAGTATATGCAGGACATTTTTCAACATTTCTTCATCCCACTCAGCATAATATCTGCCTCTTGTTTGCTTTTACGATGTATTCCTGGACTCCCACCATCCTTGTGCATCACACAATATGCTCACTTATATCTATGGTGATGCATTTACTTCCCTCTCCCTGTGTGGGTAACATGCATGCACCAGTATACCAACACCACCACAGGTTCTCACTAACTAACCACATTCAGGACAGCTTTCTATCCACTAGATGACGCTCTCGGTTTTTAAAGACATGCAGCTGCAAATTGCATTGATGCAGAGTGTAACTAATAATTAAACTAACATCGAGTTTGAGCGGAGCACATACGTGTATAATTCTCCTTCTTTGTGTTTGTGCAATAAATTAATATCCATGTAAGTGTGTAACTTGTTAATTTTAATCTCCCAATATTTCTGAAATATTTCAGCAGGGTGACTTTGGCTTATTCGTGCAGTATTTCCGCCAAAGCTATGTCTACTGGGTCCACCCATGTCCTTTTTTCCCACATAGCCAAAAAGCGACTTGTACTCACAGACTGTAATGCTTGTACCTTAAAGTGCATGAGCTCCGTCATTTAGGCTCCTTTGGTTATATGTGATACGTTTTTTTATTATTATGTTGGCCCAGCTTCTTCCAAGTACAAGCAAATATAGCACAGGCATACTTTTGCATTGCTTTCTCTGTCAGCTTAAAGTTTATGATTTGGTTTATTCATTTTAAAATGTTTTATAATGAGCTAATAAGGAAGATAATTAACGAAGTAGGTGTCAGGCCTCGTCTACAACTTGCGGTTTCGAAATCTGTTCTTTTCTTGGACCAGCCGACTGTTTGTGTTTGGGGGGGGGCGGGTTTGTGCGCTTGTTTCAGGAGGCGGAGCGGCCCGGAGCGTCGGACGTCCTGCAGAAACTGTCCTGTCCTCTCTCCCAGAAAACAACACAGAACTTAATAAGTTAGCAAGCAGTGGCGTGGGCACTTTGCACAACCGTTCATCTCTTCGAAAATCATTTAAAACAAACGCGTAAGACCTGCGATCACTGCACCAGAGAGAACGACGCTGGTGAGTAACTATACGTTACGTCCGCTAACAATATTCATTGTAAGGTTCCGTGTCTGCTGTGAGAGCGCTAATAGCCGTTCAACTCAACAAAAAAGATGACGAATTGAACATTTAACAGCAATGAGGACCACTGACGCGCTACAAACTTGACTTACTGAAGTGAGTCACGAAAAAAGAAAGAAGTTTTAAAGTAAATCTCTGGCTTGTGATTCATGCCACCTGTTGCTCTGAGCAGCGATGAAAGAGTCCAGAAACTGCGTCAACTCACTCGTTTCTTCACTTCTGTCAACTAACGCTAACTAATTAACGACTTCCCTCTAAATCACTGCCTGTCACTAACACATTAGTGTTATTGTAAGTTTATTTTATTTGTTAAAAAGCTGATCCCGTACGCTCCCGTTGCATCTACCTGACGCTTCAGATTAGTGAACTCCCATTCATTGTTACGTAATAATATTTTCCCACAGTGTAAATCCTAGCTTCACCGTTTACATTCGCTCTTTCAAGGTCGGCTGCTGTTAACCGAAGTGTTTTCTTCATGTAGTCATGTGAGCCGCTGCAGCTGCAAGACACAAGACGCAAGACGCAGTGTCTGAACTCTGACACAGAAAACTAATCGGGTCACACGAGGAGATACAAAATCTGCTTTTGTTAAATCTTTGCAGAGTCTCCCCCTTTTGCACAGATCAAAGCAAGGGCCTTGACATCCAACCTGTGGTTCACGCTGACCTCCCTGCTCGGCAGCACACAGGGTCATGAAGGCAGCACTGCCTCAGTGAAGGATTCCTGCTTTTGCAGTGACAAATACAATGGGAGGAAGAACATTTGGCTAATCCAGCCAATTGAATACATGACAAATATTTTTCATATTGAAGCAAAAACAAAACAAAAACTCCAATATTGACGTAAAGCCATCCTGCTCATTGATTTGTACTTGCTACTTTTCCCACAATGACATAATGAAACCCGACACGACCAGCATGGCAAGCCTGCGTCAGTTAACCAATGTACATCTTCTCGCAGTACGTATTGTCATATCTCCAAACCTTACATGGTGCTATGTTTTGACTAAATAGGCTCAGTAGGGCTCAGTATTGTCTGCCGTTACCTATTTCATGCTAATGTGATATATCCTGCTTGTGGCTTTGTTGCCTGTCTTATCAGTGTCCTTCTTCCAGCCCCATCTCGCCCGTCTTTGTATTGTAACATCAGGAGGAATGGGACGCTATCAGCAAGGCAAACAGGAACCTGTTCAAAGCCCATTGTCCAAAGAAACACATGTTTGCTGCTGATGGCTTTGTCTTCACTGGCTTTCCAGGCATAAATGTGTCTAAAAACATTTGGTAGCTTGTAATGTTTTAATGTTTGTACAGAGTTTAATATTTATTGCCAGCTGTGTTCTCACGGTCGTGCCGCAAATCAGTCAAACAGCCCCGCATTTATTATAAATGTGACAAAATTGAGCCAAATAAGATTTTGTTGCTCTCTTTTCATGGCATATCCCACGAGCCTGGGCTGCAATTACGTTGTCATTTACAAGGATCCATTACACTGTGTATGCACACACACACACACACACACACACACACACACACACACACACACACTGCACAATCACTCTAAATCTAACACCCGTCAAAGTTGTGGAGAGATGGCAGAGCTCTTACATTTCTCTCAGGTCTGACTGACTCATATTCAATTATTTTCTTTCTGTTAATACCTTTCTCTTAACTATTTAACCTATATTCTTTGTCATGCATGGCAAACAGTCATTTTGTTATGCCATACCTGTTAGTCACACACCTGTCATGCTTTTTTAAACACTACCTGGTCATTTTTGCAAAAAATGTGGCTGATGTTGACTCATATTTCCAGAGATGCGATGTGTTCTGACTGAGATGTTATAAACAACACAGGGACCTCAGTGGAGAGCAAACAGAACATTAAGACTCATGCAAAACAAGAAAAACTAATTAAAGCGGACAACATAATTAAATGCAGTGAGGCTTTAATGTTTCATTAGTGGCTGAGTGTGGAACTGGGAAACATTTGTTGATATTACTGAATTATGTAGTGTCTCATCTCTGACTAATGAACCCGTCTGAATCTTTGCTTGTAGAGGTGGACCACCTGATCCAGGGAGTGGGATTTATTTTCCTTCTGCATTCCTGATGGAGTCATACAGAGTTACAGGCATTCCTAACAGTGGACCACAGCGGGGCCACACTCAGCCGTCCCGCCCCTCCAGGCCACAGAGCAATGGAGCTGGTACATACGGTCTCAGCATCCGTGTCCAGGGTATAGATGGACACCCATATGTAGTTCTCAACAACCAGGACAGGGGTTCTCAATCCCTTATGGACCCGAACAGTAATGGGTACATCGACACAGAGGGCTCTTTTATTGAGAACTACCAGGAGTATGATTTCAGGGGAGGAAAGGAGGCTGGATCCGACAGCCCCTTTATGGAGTACAGGTCTCAGAAGATAACCCATTACACTGGTCCTCAAAATGGCATCGCAGATTCACAGGGAAAGAAACACTCCTCTCTTCTGAACTTTCAGAAGCACCCTGAGATACTGCAGCCGTATGATCCAGAGAACAACTCCCTGACCCTTGATGCTTTCCACAGCCTGCCTTCAAGGCCTCTTCCTCTGGATGAGACTGAGAACCAACACCAGAGTTCCTCCTCCAAATCTTCTGTACCTGCGCTGTCCAATGCCATGTCATCAAGCCTGGACAGGAGCAAAGCTCCTGCGCAGCAAGAGAAAAGGCAACTTCCATCCCAGAGCCTGAGTGAGACAGCCCTTTTTAAGCCGAAGTCACAGCCCCAGTCTTTGCCTCCTACCCAGCTGGCTCAGTCTCAGACCAGACCACAATCACAAGTAGCTCAGCCGCAGTCCAAACCTCATCTTGCCAACCTGAATCCACCTCAGTCCAAGCCAGGCTCTAAAACGCAGCAGCAACCAGTGCTTCCAGCCGAGCCTCAGCCCTCCACCGTGTCACGTCGAACAAGTGAGCAGAGCAAGACATCATCTCGATCCCCCACTTCGATGAGCAGCACCAACTCCAGCCTCGAGCGCACCCACCGAGAGCCTGATGTCCTTCCTCTACGCAGGACTGACTCCAGCGGTCCAGTCCTTCAGTCCTCATCCCGTTCCCGCCACTCCTCCTCATCTTCCACCTCTAAAGCTCTGGTGGAGGAACAGATAGACCCCCTATACGCAGACACCATCAATCGCCACGAGAACCGCCGCTACATCCCTTTCCTTCCAGGTTCAGGCAGAGACATTGACACAGGCTCCATTCCTGGTGTTGATGAACTCATTGAGAAGTTTGACGGCAAAGATGGCAGCCACCACCGCAGGGGCCGGGCGGGCCGCAGGAACAGGATCAATCCAGACGACAGGAAGCGCTCACGCAGTGTGGATAGCGCCTTCGGCCTAAGAGATGGCTCTAGCTGCGTGGACGGATTTAGCCGCCAGCGAGGCACATCAATGGAGCATGTCCTGCGGCCCTCACAGCTACGGCTGCAGAAAACAAGCGGCAGTCAGGACTCTTGGCTCACGGCTGTAGATGGTAAGGGTGACTCAAGGGCTTCATCTTGTGTGGCCAGTGCGCCTGGCTCCCCTCAGAGCACCACCTCTAAAGGTGTAAGCGCCATACAGGGTTACAGCAAGCCACAAACTCGCACCTCTTCACTACCATTCAAAAGCGTGGACAGCGCCTTCTCAGCTGGAAAGGTGTCGTCAACATCTCCATCCAAGCCTTCTTCCACCGCCGACAAAAAGCCCAATACAGAGGCAGATGCTCAGGTAAAAAGGAATGTATGCTGAAGCATTATGATTGGATCTTACCTATTCAATGTGAAATGTCTTTTTTTTTTTTAACATGTGTCTTAGTTTACTTGAATTATAAGAATATTCTCCAACAGATGATCGTCTGTTCTGTCTTGTAAAAACTTCATTAAGATCTCCTTTCCTGTCATTGCCAGGCGACACCTGATCTTTTGAAAGGTCAACAGGAGCTTTCACAACAAACACACGAAGAGACAGCAAAACAAATTTTGTTCAATTACCTGAAGGATGGGTGAGTTATCTTGAATTTTTGTTGCTGTATCTTATAAATATACTTTTCAGCTTTATTTGCTCATTGATAAAAAAAGACTGAATGTTGTGAACATTTTCTAGTCTTAATTCCTTGGCTGTTAGTTGAATCATGAACTGAGCATATTGTTTACTCTAATACCTAAATGTATCATGTTGGCACGATAAGGTAATGCATCATGAAGGAAGAGACTGTTCTGTGTGTTTTTATCAGAGTTGGACTGTTTGTGATAAAAGTTAAGGAATGTGCTCATCTTACCCTCCCATCCAGCTGTCTAGAGTTTGTTTTTTCACAGAACCCCACTTTCTCTCTCTGCTTTCTCTTTGCTGCAGTGCGAAAACGTCCTGTTTGCGTCTGTAATCAGACACTCACTGCCTGTCAAGGAAAGGCATGTTGGGTTAAAAGGTTAAATGTGGTTCAGGTTTTAAAGCAGGCAGATATGATGGTGTATGCATTCTTTACAGTATTTTAACTTGTAGTAGGTAGTCACTGTCAAGTCTTGTTGCCAGTTAAACTGTACTCTACAGCAGTTGAATCAGTTGTGCGCCATTTCACAGTTAAAAAGAGTTTGCCAGTTTTTACAGTTCTTGCACACGTGCCACAGACTTGTGATCATGTAGAAAGAGAGCAGGAAACTGCTTGGGTGTGCCGGGCCACAGGTCAGGAGTCACAGGACAAAGGAAAGGAAACACAGATGGAAGTGGGGCTGAAACTGAGCTACATTCCCAAGGCCTAAGAAGACAAACATTCACCAAGAGGGGTTATAAAGGTTTAATGAAAATCATCTGTATGAGGAGAAAAGAGGGGTTTTTTTTTGGGGGGGGGGGGGGGGGGGGGGGGGTTGGCTGTCTGTGTCAGCCATGTAATCTATTGAAATAATGAATCACTGCTGCCATGTGAAAGTGGTATAACTCCAGTTTTGTGAATTCTGATGTTTTCACTTTAACTGGAGGAATCATTGTTCTTCTGTGGGTTGAGAAAATCCTGCGATCTTTGGTCTTTCACACGGCTGGGGATGAACTCAGAAATGCTTAGTGTTTAATGACAAAGGCAAAGCTGCTTTTCTTAGCTCTGAAAATGTTGTTGTTTAGGTTTAGGAAGGTTTTGACTGAGCAAAAGAATACTGTAAATGTTTGGCACTTTGTTATCTTTTAGATATAGGACAGGAAATATGTTACCACCAGAGAGAATGGGCGCGAGGCAGAAACTATGTGGGTGTGGCTGGTTTTGGGACCAAATGTTGTGAATTCAGGCTTCTTAAAAAACATCTGTTTTTGTTTCAGTAACTAATAATATGAACAAAGGTACTATTTGACTGTAAATGTTTACTACATCATATATTTGACATTACAGTAAGCATTAGATGCCTTAGACGTGGTGTTATTTCTTAACCCATGCATTGATTACTGCATTTTTAAACATTTTTAGCTCTGGCTCCTACTAGTTCACCTGGCGATGAAGTGAGACTATACAGCAATTCCATTAAACTGCCCATACGTTTCATTCTTCTCCTCATGTGCCTCATAGTTTATTGGACGGGTGTAATGAAGCTGTTTGTGATGTGAGGTGACACATCAAAGCAGCTTGATCCTTCCTGACCCTTTCTAAGCTGGGAATGACTTACTCTGTTCCCAGAACAGTCTGCAATTAATTCTTGAGCTCCCAAACACTGAGAAAAGTTGTTTTTTTTATACCTTTAATAACCTGTGCGTGTGTGTCTGCAGAAGCACCGATAATGATGATACGACAAAGAGAAAGGTCAACCTTGTCTTTGAGAAGATACAGACGTTGAAGTCTCGGGCCACGGCGAGCGCACAAATCGATAACAAGGTGAGACATTGTTATGTCATCGTAATTGTGGACCACTAACCACTAAAGTATGCCACTTCTCCCCTGCAATTTTTTGCACATGTTTGTATTCGAATCATAAACTCGGGGTTGTAAAAGTGCAGTTTTACCTTCGTGATTTAGTTATCTACCAGTAAATGGGTGAGAGATGCGTGTTTGGGGTTCAGCTTCCCAAAGTGGAGCTGAACTGGTTGATAAGTTGATAAATGCAACCAAGTTATTTGTGTTAACATATATTTCGACAGTAAATTCTTCTTTAACATCCTGTTTGATTCAAACCAGTGAAGAAAACTGTGATTTTTGGGACTTTTTAAGACTGTGTACATATTATATCTCTGATGCTCTGAGGCAGAGCAGACACTGTCAGCTATTGAATATTTACCCTTTACTTAGTAACCGAGTGCTAATGCCAGAGTCCAAATATTCATCTTGTAATTTGATTCATAATGGATTAATAAGAATTAAGCAACCCTAAAACTTCTGTCTTCTTCTGTCAGTCTCTGGACTTTGGTGCACAGACCAAAGCTCTGCAGGAGCAGAATGAGGAACTGGGAAAAGAAATGGCCGAACTGAAGAGACAACTTGAGGACCAAACCACGGTGACAACAGTCTAACTGTGCCTCCAACACCAGCCTGTTTATGTTGCCGATCGGTTTATAGCTAAACTTGTTCTTTGAGAATATCCTAAAGAGCATTTTGGGGCTACTAGTTTAATCTAGAATTGGCTAAGTTTAACACAAAGGCCCGTTTAGAATAAACAGCCTGCTCAGCATCTTGATAACCTGTAATATTGTAGTGAGTGGGTGCTTTAATAGAGTAAATGTAAATTCAAAACACTGTTTGTATTGCATTTACTTTTCAGTTCATTCTCAGATTCCCTCAAACAGATAAAAAATGACCATGACTTTATGTTTTTATCAAACAGATCAGATCAATTCAATCCAAAGGCCGAAAGCTTGTTGCAGTGGATGTAAAAGACTAGATATGTGTACTGAAACTGAAATGTCAACAGTAATATTTGTGTGTTTCACCAACAGAGGAATCAGGCTGACAAGAGGACAGTAGCAGGTTTGAAGAAGCTGCAGCAGGAGCTGGAGCGGAGTGTAGAGGAGTGCAAGCGTCTGAAGGAGAAGCTAGCCAAAACAGAGTTCGAGCTCCAGGCCACAGTGGAAGAGTAAGTGCAGCGTGACAATTCTGGAGAATGACAGGTCACTAATGATCGGTATTAATCAACTAGCGTAGCTCTGTTGTGTGCCAGTATTTTTAACTCTTCAGGGTGGTTCAGTGAGTTAAGCTCCCTTCACTGGTATCTCCATCCTGGTTGCATGCTCCAGCAAACACAACTGGCAGTGTGTGGTGTGGTGGGAAGCTGGTGACGAACCATGATCTTGTCGCTGCGCTACTGATCTCTAATGATTTGTTGAGGATTTGCACGCAGGCTGGTGGGAACAGGGACTTTATGCCCTCCTTGGGAAGCTCCTTGTTGACAGGTGAAATGAAGAAGTGGTGTATCAGAAGAACCATGTTGCTGTTAACACCTTCCTTAAGCCATATAATAATAATATAGAATAATATGAATAATTAGCTTGACTTGTTGGAGTACTGTCACTCCGAAAGCAGTGTAGCATGTCTGTTGATGAAACCACTCACTGTTGGTAGTTGGTGGTTACCATGTCAGTTGCTCTGTCTTATTATACAGCCCTTTGTGACTCCTCTGGTTTGTTGGGTTTATCTTTCACCCTCCATATTAATGCATGCTTGGTGACTGATTTACTATTCATTCTGACAGCACTAACTGTCCAGCTCCATTTCTGCTCCTTTACATATTGTACAAATGTTATTGGAGTGCTCAGTTGGATGTCTAGAGTGTTGGCATTATCCATAGCTTGCTGGTTTTGTTTGCAGTTGTCAATGTTTTGGATGGGTATAGTTGGAATATCTTAACAAAATATGTTTGAGCATTATTGAACTATTGAACGCTACACTCTTTTTTTTTTTTTTTTTTTTTCTACCTCCTTCTCTGTCGTACCTTCATTTTTAATTATTTTTTTTCGAATCCAAGTTTTAATTGAAGTTTTGTGTCTCAGGTGATTATCATCTGTAGTTTCAGCTTTACTGTGCTTCTTTCTCAGGATGAATGACCCAATACCAAACATCGATTAGTTTATTTTTACAGCAGGAATATGCTTCAGTCTACATTACTGTGGTGATTTGTTTGAGGTTCCTCACATCACTTATCACCCTCTTCCTCTGTGTCGTCGTGTAGAGGCAGTTTACACATTATTGCTTTGCCGTCGTTCAGGTATTCGTTTTAACCCCTGTGCTCTATAGGCCTCACATTAAGACCCAGCACAGGTGCTGCCATTTCTATGTGTGAATTAAGGTGCAGGTGTGCGGGTGTGTCTGTGCATGTACATACGCAGTATGTAGAGTGCCTGTACTGTGTGTTGTGACATGTCACATGGTTTGTCAGGCTGTTCCAGGTGAAGATGGAGAGGGAGCAACACCAGACAGAGATCAGAGACCTGCAGGACCAGCTGTCAGAGATGCATGACGAGCTCGACTCAGCCAAGAAGTCAGCCGCCGATGAAGAGAGAGACATCATTATGGTGGTAATGCACTGTTCATTGTTCTAGAGAAGACGTTGTTGAGTTTTTCTGCTCTAAGCTTGTAGAACATGTGGCTACCTCACTAAAACAACCGTGAAAGATAAAAGGTACTCTGCCTCTTGAATATTAAAACCATGTACATAAACCATGATGTAAAGTGAAGTGTTGGAGTGAGTTAACATTAAGGTGCTGTTTCACACTGTATTTTAAAGTTTAAACTGTAATGCAGCCAGTGTAGAGACCAGCCTGTCTGGAAGAGGCCTAATGATTTGTACCATCCTATACTACAATGCTGATAGCGATTATCACACTGAAATAACACCAAATGTATTTTAGTTTTGCTGAAAACATTTCTGTTATACCTAAGCAAGTCAGTATGGTGATGGCTTTATCTGAAAGATTTCTCTTTGGAAACGCTACAGACTAAACTATCTCATTTGTTGTTATTTATATTTCCAAAAGGCCCACATTCTGTCTTGTCTTCAGCTCTACATTTTTGATCTATGAACAGTTAAATATAAACGGTTTCAGTGAGAAATGTCTATGTAACCAAAGGCAAGAGCAAACTTAAGGGCCACGGTGAACTCCAGTCTGAATCTTCAAATTCTGAATTGATAAAATGTTTCCAAACTATCTTCCTTTTCCGCAGGACATGATGCAACTGAAGGTGGAGATGCAGGAAGTTCTCCTAGCCAAGGAGGAGCAGGAGGAGGTGCTGAGGAGGAGAGAGAGGGAGCTCACTGCTCTGAAAGGAGCCTTGAAGGAGGAAGTGGCCGCTCATGATCAGGAGGTGGACAAGATGAGGGATCAGTATGAGAAGGAAATAAGCAGGCTGCAGACATCTTTGGTGGAGGCCAAGCAGGTAATCAGCCTCCCGTTTCTTTCTCCTCCCTCCCCTCTCCTCCAGTTTGACTTCTTGTGTTCCCTCCTCCTCACTTCCTTAGCTTTCGCTAAGCTTTCGCCCACCCCCACTCCAGAAACACACCCTGTCACAGAGGAGAGTCAAGATAAGCAGCGCATCGGGGGAGCTGTAACTGTGTGTGTGTGTGTTTTGCATTTCAAGTTATGCCATATGTTCATCACCAGAGGTTGGGGCTTATCTGTAGCACTGAGTGTCAAAATACTGAGACGCTGGTTCTATAAGCGGCAGGATATACTGTTTCAAGAAACATGGCACTTTAAATCAGTATCACTTTATTTCTGTGGAAAGGATTTGCAAAAATAGCAGGCAATGGAGGCAAAGAGGCCTTGTTTTTTTTTGTCTCTATTGCAATTTAAGAAATGTTTAACATGAGTAAGATGAGATATTTTTTATATTAAACAACAAAAACTGAAATATTGTCATTCAACAACATAATTCCACAAACCCGCACTCAGCATAATACTTTGGTGACTAATAGTTTCTAACATGCCTCAGTAGCACCAAAGTAGCCTCATGTACCTGCAGTTGACCCGTAAATTCCAGTAATACTTATAAATGCATAGTTTCATAATTTCATAAGCACATGGCTTTGTGCTGCTGCTGCGTTAGTCATAAATCATGATTCTGTGATTTGTTTTTGTTTATGATAAAGAGCTGAAAAACATCCTACTTTTTAATGGTGATGTAATCGCAGTGCATAAACAAAGTAGTTTAAACACTGATCAGCATAGGATAACATATTCACCTACAGCAGTTTGAAGCTGTGCGATTTTTTTCAGATGACGCAAGTGGAAATTCAGTTCAGCTTGAGTTCACACACTTGAGCTGCATCAACAGAGCAAACTGATAAAAATGAAACACGATGTAACAGTTAATGTAGCTCGTAATCATTGTTCATGGGAGTGTGGAGGTGTTGTCTTATCTCAGCTTGTTACTGTAGGGAGGAACATTTTACAGGAAGGATGATTAATAATAACATTTAGAGACATTTATCTGTAGATTCATATTTACAAGTTGTCTTGCTGGCATGTCACTATTGTAGCTTAGTAGCAAGTCATAAATAAAGGCCCTGTTATACTCAGTCACAGTTCTGTTTTTACTATATTAACAAGAAATAAACTTCTGAAAACCTGAACATCAAGATCTACAAACCTCCTTGAACTAGTGATGAACCAGCCATCATTTAAGAGTGAATGATTGAAGTACATTTTTGGTAGAGCAGAGAGCCTTTGTAAAATGGAGAGCAGGTGAGTTAAGATAAGAGGAACAGCAGTGCATGGCAGGAGACGGCACACTGAAAGGACTGAAGACACATTGTTTTCAGTAGGTCGCTGTGTGACTCACGTGTGTCCTGTTTGTCTCAAAGAGTGGAAGTTGTGCTTGTTCTCGGCTTCCTGCAGGCCCAGTGGGGGTCCACAGCAGCGCTCTGCAGCAACAGTCTATGAGAACATTTCCTTTGGTTGAAACAGAGGTACTGCTCCCCTGATGGAGTATGTCATCAGGGGTTTACCCTCAGTGCTTTGTAAACACTTGACAAGATGAAGTCATTGTTTGTTTCCCTTTTAAGATATGAAAGAGTTCTCAGTCATTTATGTCCTTGAATTAATGTTCTGTGCTCAGGTTACACCGAGGCATTCAGAGATTAGAAAACTCTGCCTATCAATCATTATGCAGAACCATGAACTCATATTCATCTATACAGTTGCACTTTTATGATTTCGCTGTTTATATATGCTGTTTATGTCGGGGCAATGTGAAAACAGGTAATAAGATCGGACAAGTTAGGACATAAAAGACACATCAATTAAATAATTTTGTCGTCATATCTACAAAATAAGCATATTGAAAGCATGTGGGTAATAAATACTGTTAATCTAGAAATTATGGTTTTCTGTGTAATGAGAATACAGCGTGATATGCACATTCCAAAAAAATAGCAAGCATGCATCACCATGAAACCCAAAGCCTTTTGGAGCTCAAAACACAGCCTGTGGCCAGACGGCTGAGCTACAGGTTTTGAGAAAGCCTGGCATTAAAAGGGAAAGCTGTTTATTATCTCATGTACGCTTCTACTTTGTATGAGGGCGTCATACAGAGGAGAACGAGAGCCACAGTGAACTGAGCATCTTTTATTTTTGTGCCCCCATCTCAAACCGACCCCCTCTGAGTGGCCCTAACGTTTGGGTTGACCAGAGCAGCCCATGCGAAGAAGAATGCTGGAAACTGGAGCACTGAGTTGTTCTGTATACTAGTTAATTGCAGTGGCAAGCCATCACTAATCTAATGAGCGGCCGTTCCCGAGTTGCGTCGTGTCCCCTCGACTTTCTGTGCCCCGAAAGAGTGGGGGTAATTGCGGACCTCAGTCGATGATGAATGATGAGTTTGTTTCACACAATAATAGCAGCGGGGGTTGGGACATGCTGAATAAGTGGGTCAGTATGCTGTAGAAAAAGGGATGCGTGGCTGACCCCCTGAAAGGAGCGGGGGGGCCTGTTTTGTGTCTGAAATTGAAAGCTGCATTGTGTTTACAATGAGCTGAAATCTGTGGAATTTCATCGGGGTTGATAAATCTTGGTCATACTTTCTTAAGAAGATATGAATTTGCTTATTTTTAGTTTTACTTACCTGAGTTCTCAATGCTCTGCAGCAAAAGGCACATTTTGGAAGTGGATTTGATCTTGTGTGTCAGCGTGTGCTGGTATGCAAAACGTGGAAAGATGAGGTGTGGCGAGTAGAGAGAAGGGTCTGTTTCCAGGAATGTCGGGGTCGAAGTGGAGAATGTGCACCCTGCGGACCTCCTTTTTCACTCAACTCCAGCTCTGTTACAGTGCACCTGCTCTGACCTGCGGGAGAGGCTTGGGCCTTTTCATTTATGCCTCTTCAGGGTGCTGCAGTTTCATCTCCATCTCCGCAGCACACCGGATTCTCAGTGTTGGAAGCTTTAATAGCTCTCAGCTGTACTCTTCCTTCCTAACTGTAAAGACAGAGCCTTGTGCTTATCACACCATTTCCAGCTCTTGTTAAGTTAAACCTACAGCCCCGAGGCACAGTGTGTAACACGGCCACATTGTTATCACGCTCTCATCTGTAACCTCAATCCCAAATGCCGTATTTTTTCATTTCCTAACTCCACGGTTTCCACACAAGACTCTGCAGTGATCTCCCGCTCACCACAGTTCATTTTCTGGCCTGTGCCATTCTCGCTCGTATCTCAGCCTGCCTTTTGAGTAATCTCTGCCAGTGTGTGAACTGAAGTCTTACTGTCTGATCATCAAACTTACGTGGCCCACAGAAGAGTTGCCCCTCAGGCTTGTTTTGAAAGGAAGCACTCCCGCATATGTCTGTGTGTTTGATGATAGCACTGTATTTCCAAGCGTATAGCTTGAGGAGCTGGTAGGAGATGCAGGGCAGTGAGTGAGGAAGGAAATGATGGAGAGTTTCTGGATCCTGACAGAGACTGCAAGGAATTAGCCATTTATCCTTGTTGGTCTTCAAATGGCTTTAATGATAACTTTATACATTAAAAAGAAGAATTAAATACAGCAGCAGTTCAGTCAGAAAAGGTTTGGTTGAGAAAATGTTGCTGCACGGCCATATGAGGGTCACGTCCGTGCAAAGTCAGGCAGTTGCTGGATTTGAGTGTTTGTTGTTCCTTTACCTCGCTGCCTGTGAGCGCTGATGTGGTGGGAGCCTAATCTGCCAAAACAACTTGCAGGTGTCAAGTTAAATATACATCTCCCATAGAGATGACCAATAACATGTGAGACTAGTGGTTAGAACCTGAGAGTTAGCATTCATCAAGCATTGCTTTTAAAGGCAGGTGGTGTGTTTTCTTGTAAACTTGTCAGGGATTGTTCATTTTATGTTCTATGTTCTGCCTTCTTGTGATCCACATGACCATGACATATTGAATCAGAACCAGCCTCTTGGCATTTTAGATTACATTTTGATCTTGTATTTGTAACTATGCCAGCTGACCTTTTCAGAACATAATGTTGGACTTCACTGTAACTGTGTAACGTGTGGGCTGAGATCTCCCATGTTTGAGTGTTGTGGGGGATGTGGATTTTGGGCATCCCTTCTCTTGCTCACAAGTTTATTCAAACCTAGTCTTTTTTGGCCTTAGGCCCCCCCCCCCCCCCCCCTGTTTGTCTTTCTACTGAGACTAAGCCTTTCTTTGAATTTTAGCCAGGATGGTGGTGCATGATTTAATAATTGACCCTGTGGAGCCTAACAGTCAAAGTCTTGAGTCACATTCACTTCAATAAAATTCATGATTTAAATAAATACTCTTTATTAATGTAATTAGTTTCATGAGTTGCTACATCTGGTGCAGTGCTCCACCCCATATTTTCTGCTGTTACATTGCATGATCCAGTTTTACATTTGAGAAATGAATGTATGCGTAATATTTTACAGGGAAAAAAAGGCTATAGATTAGATGATACTAAAGTGTTTGATATTCAGAAACCCCAAATTAGTGTGCATGAGATCACAGAACCCAGTTTGATCAAATGTGGTCCCAGTAAACCCCCAAAATATGATTGATTTTAGATATAATTCTGCACTGGCTACAGTAAGTGTCCCTACATTATTTGGGATGAAAGCTGTCAGTGACTGTACTGATGGTCAGAGAGTAAAAAACTAGTAAAATTGACGAGAATATGTTTTTCAGGGCAGCCCTGAGATCATGAAAACCTCACTTCAGATAGTGCGTTCACCCTTTCTTTCAGAATTAGTTGTTTTCATCTTGCAAGTTAGGTGCACTGTGATGAAGGCACATCAAAACATTTCCACGTCTTACAGCAATGCTTGTTTCATTGACAATTGCAGACGATAGTGTGTGTGATGTCAACAGCTGTTCTTTCAATACATCTAATATCAAAATCATCAAGTCACTCAGAGCATCTGCATGGTCACAGTCTCACTAGTCTCAATAATGCCATGTTGTATCCAAACACCCCTGCAAGCTTGCAGTTTGGCTTTGCACAGAGACTTTAAAAGCTGGTTTCTGTTTAAATTTCTCACAGGACAAGATTTGATTACGGCCCTCCTTTGACCAAAGAGATGCCAGTGCTTCTCAGCTGTCACATTTTAATTTCTACTTCAATCCTTCCTGTCAGTCCGTGACAGGCCTTCTGTTCCAGTTAACCTCGGGTCTGGGTAACTTCTTTAATGAAGGATGATGTTGTATATGTAACACACACTTTGTGCTGGCAAAGGAAATCAGGGCTTCCACACTGCCAAAGATGTTTTTTTAAAGTTCTTCTCCTGATAAGAGGATTAAGTTCAGATAAGGTGATATACCACACAGGTATGACCTGTACTCTAAATGACTTTGGACAGTTTGATTTAATTAGGTCAAGTTTGGATTTGAAGCCTCTTCGGTCAAAGGCAACAAAGGCATTTTTATTTGACACAACGAGGCTACATCACTTCAGCTGTCAAAAAACTCAAACCCACAATAAGGGAAAAACAGGATTGGTGACGTTTTATCTCCAGCTATCAAAAGAGTAAACGCCTGAGTGGCCAATAAACATATAATGCATGTCTACAACACGTACAGTGCTGCTGGTCTGGAGTTAAAAGGCTCATTATAGCCTGCCACACATATGTCATCTGTTTAAAGTTCTAATCTCTTTGTTTGGACTAAATTAGATAACAACTAGAAAAAGAAAAAAACACATTTTGGTGATTACTCCTTTTTAAAACATGACAGCGTAACATCTTCATAGCATGCAGGCTCAATAATATAGCAGTAGGCTTAAACTTTTACAGAAGCAAATCACAGTTGGCATGTTTTTGCAGCTGCTGTAGCATTTTAAATGTATTACTGCACTGCATGTTATATTTTGCGCCACAATGTTGGGTTTTGTGGAACAAATGTTTTCACAGTTTGTTTTTCAAAGATGGCGCTCTGGCCGAAGTCATATGGGATAAAAAATAACTCCAACATGTTGGTCTTCAAAAAGAAACACAAAGCACAGGCAGAGAAACGTTGGGAATGGGGAGGGGAGAGAAATGATAACATGTAAGCAGCTGGCTTTGTGGAAAATGACTTCATTTGGACAAACTACCTGTGTGTTTACACTGATTGTGATTGATATTTAGGCTCTCAGAGTTGCATTTGAACTCTGCCTTTGGTTACTTGTTATTGAAATGTTTCTATGAGAGTTTATGTGCAGTATTGTGAGTTGTAATGGTGTTACCTGTATATCTGATAAAGGGGTTAATCCTGCTGACATTTATTGAAAATACAGATTGTATAAATATGGAATGAACTAGGAAAACGATGTACCCTGTCCGGTTGTAGATTTCTGTTCTGTAGGTTACTTGCAGCTGTGTTTGTCTTTAGACCATCAGACTTGGGACACATAATTCACCTCAGCATTTGTGGCGCGCTTCAAAGACTGCACAAAGTTAGTTAATGTGCAACTTTATGCAAACAGTTTGAGTACACAAGACCAAGACCAAGTCAAACTTTGAGTTAGTGTAGAGGAGGGAAAAAAGACAAGCGGTATGATATTACCTCATATTCTTTTATGATATTGCACTAATACTCTGAACCAGCTTGTGTTGCTAGTCTCTTTGTTACATTTGTATTTAAAGAGGTGATAAGGAATTGTATTAAATTGACAAATTAAACAAATCATTGTCTAATAGCTGATAAAGTGATTGTTGTCTTGGCACTAAACCTTTAGTGGTTGTTAGGTAATCTTTAATAACGCTTTAACACTTTAAATGAATGATTTACTTTTTTTAGTAGCATACAAGTTAGTGAAGCCTAATGAGATATAAATGGGCAATATAATAGGCAATAGGCATTATTAATGGTTCTCAGGCACATGATAATTTGACATTTATGTTGTTATGTCTTACAATTTAAGGAAAGTTGATCTTTCCACAAGCTCATGTTCTGGCATAAATATATCAGATCATGATGCAGGTCTGTTTAAATCAGTCCAAATAAATGAGAGTTGCAGAATGGAAAGTCTACTGAAAAAGAGGTAGGCAGTAGCGGGTTCTCCCTCTTTCTGGCTGGGTGGCTTTGTCCATGTGTTTAACTGGTATGACCCAGTGTGGGAAGTGGGACAGGCATGGTAGTATGAGGGCTGAACATGTTGTATATGTTGTTAAAACGGAGCACTGACACACACTGTCAATGCTTTATTACCTCCACTGAAGAGGTTCGTTTTCTTCGTTTGTTTGTCAGCAGGGTTATGAAAAAACTACTAGCCCGATTTTCATGAAACTTGTTAGAAGGGTGTAGAATGGATCAAGGGAGAACCCTTTAAATTTATCAGAATCGCAGGGCAGATACATGAATTCTTTTTCACTTTCATTACCATTGCGGGATAGAGCATGGCCTTGTTCTGCGCAGTGCTCATCTAGTTATTGTAGTAAAAGCTTTGTTTCGCCTGACATCCCCCCCCAAATCCCATTTGGCAACCAACACTTTGATATGTGAGTTTTCAAAGCAACGCGAGGAAGCTGCTGTAACCCAACATAACACAAGAGACCGGATCGTCTGGGCCCAAACTGCAGATACTCCAGTCCAGAAAACTACAAATGTATCGTTTGTTTTCTAACATGACCTCTTATTTGTCTTGAGAGGTAAAAACTCTGTATTTCGCAGTACTGTGTCTGTTCAAGGCTCCTCGCTCCTTTGAACAAGTGACCCAGTCAGGCAGAGATGAGGGCGGCTCTGTGGAGACAGGGGAAACAGGTCTTACTGGCCTGCTACCACTGAAGCAGGGAGGCACCCGTCAACTCTCTCACATCCTGCAAGTACAGGATGTGTCTGTATTCACGCATGGTGACGACAGGACGACTTGATCAACGAGTGCCTTTCAACTTAGTCACAAAGAGAATAAAGGGGCGAAGAGTAGTAGACTTTGGATTTCAGCAGAAACTCAATTCTGCATTTGTAAATAAGTAACCGCCTTCAAAACCTCCTTCAACTGCCCAGTGGGACTAACTAGAGTGCTTTAACTCACAAAACTACACACTTTTGCCAGCTGCAATTAATTAATGACATATATAATCTGCTATTATAACTTGTTTATTTGTGCTTTTTAAAAGAGGCACGTGATGATTTTTTGTGATAAATAAATGTCAGATGAAAGAACCCATATTTCATGATTTCCTCTACCTGCTGATTGTGATGTAATTTAGGTACTGCTCGAGAAATACAAAACAGTTTTCAGTTCTACTGTTTGTATTGATGCATTTTTTTGGGCCGCCTTTCATCAGTGTTTCACCAGCTGGGTTACAATTTAGTTGATACTTCAAGTCAGAATGGTGTGTGTCTGTGTATGTGTGTGTGTGCTTTTGCGCCACACACACATGCCGTGACGTACTTGGATGTCAGAGAGAGTAACCTGCCTGGGCAGAGAGACAGCATTGAACTTTATTTACCCGTTGACACATTTTAACCCCTTCAGTGTTAATTCAATGTAATGTTTCAGCTCGGTTATAAAGTGAAACAGTAACTACACACTTTGTAGTCTTGTGTAGTGTTGTACCTCACTGTACTGACTCACTATTGGCAAACCAGTTTTCCGAACATTCCACCTCCGTTCCAAAACACGTGCTGGATCTCGGTTGTTGTTCACTGGAAGGGTGTCTTCACAACTGAAACCTGTTCTCTGTCGCACTGATTGAGTTGTGTGATTGTCGTCAGTACTCTTTGACTCAGTCTTCTGTCACGCAGAAATGTGTTTCCGTCTGTCTCCTGCTCTTTCTCTACTGCACAGCATTCCATCCCGAAATGTCAAACCCAAAAACACAGTCTTCATTCACAAATTTGGGCATGGGGAGAGCTCACAGGACTCCCCATTAACTCTGTCCCAGCCACTGTACAGCCACTGGTCACAAGACTTCTCACAGGAGTATGTCAGGTGTAAAATGAATCTAGTGACACAGGAGACTAGCAGATCTCCTTCATGTGGCCCTCAATCAACAGAGGCTAATGAATGCTCAGATTTAGTTGCCTTCATCTCTGCTTTATTATGTAGTGTGAGAGAATTACAGGAGGACATTTTTACTCTGTTATAGCAACAAAGGTTCAGTGAGAACCTTGAGGGCTTCAAATAGCTTTTGTTGCATGAGGCGTTTGAGAGATTTTCAAATGTCCTGTCATGCATCGTTGTTTAGTGCCACAGACTCCTGCTTCCTTTGTACTGAAGCTTTGTGTCTTGCTGTGATCTGCAGAGCAGTGCAGCAGTGGCCCGTGAGAAGGCTGAAGTGGAGGCAGCCAAGGGTGCAGTGGAGGGCCAAGCAGGACGCCTGACCCAAGAGGCCGATCGGCTGCGCAGGCGTGCACAGGAGCTGGAAAATGAGGTGGCCAAACTCAACCGCATCATCGATGAGGCCAAGCTACAGGAGAGCAAGCAGGGCGACAGAGCTGGCCGACTGGAGGTAAGGGGTCCAGGTGCATAAAGAGTGGTCAGTCACAGAACTGCTGCTGCCAACACATCATATTACACTCTATGAGAGTCTTATATGCCACAATGTCTGCTTAACAGAGAGAGAAAAAGCAATTGGAAGAATCTTTGGATGAAATTAAGGAGCAAGAAGAGGAGATGTCGCGTGCCAATCGAGCGTTGACCGTTCGGTTGGAGGATGTGCAGGTGAGATCAGCGACACTGTGCTACACTGCATGTAGAGAAATGTCACAAGGACGGTTTGACATCTTTAAAATTGTGTCCTACAGAGGAACTTTTCCAAAGTGAGCACTGAACACAAGAACTTGGAGGAGAGGTTACAAGAAGAGAGGACTCAGAAGGAACAGTTCAAGCACATGAAGAACAACATGGAGGATGAGAGGATGCTGCTGGACCGCACAGTGGAGAAACTTCAGAGGGAGGTGAGTGTACTTGAGTCTATAGTACAGGGACATCCATTCCAGCAGGCGATGCATTAGTGGAGGTGGTCTCAGATGGCAAGCTCCATTTTGGTCAAATGTGTTTATTAATCTTTGAGTCTAATGAGTCTCTTATCAAAGAGTTGAGTTGACTAGCTCTTAAATAAAGAGTTATTTAAAACAATGCAGAGGCCAAGTGCTCCTTGAGTGTCACATGCAGTCAGTTCACAGGACCTTATTTTGCTCTTGAAGATGAAAAATAAAACTGGTCAAAGACAATAAACTGTTCTTCGGGCACTCTTCGAGAGCTAGGAGGAGTATATTAAAAGTTTAATTTAGTCATGCATGTTGGTTTAAAATGCCCTCTGATTTTGACCTCACAGGGTCTTTTTCAGGGGGAAGGAGGAAGAATGCCTGAAAAACATTTTCTTTTCTTGTACCATTGAAGTATTTAACTTTCCTTTTTTTAATTAAGGGATTCTAAAGGATTCAGGTTTGGATATGTGGACTCATTGCTTTTTTCCTCATATTTCTTTCTGTCTCTCGCCCTGTGCTCTCCCTCACCGTGCTCTCCCTCACTGTGCCTGCAGATGAATGATATTGTGGTGGCGTCCCAGTCGTCCACTCTGGAGCTCCAGGAACAGATTGATATTTATAAAGAGAACAACCGTCGGGAGCTGACTGATCTGCAGATGCTTCTGAAGGAGCGAGGACAGGAGTTGGACAAGTGCCTACTGACTACCAAAACCCTGCAAGAAGAGGTACAGTGGGCTACGTCAGCCTCATCTAACGTAATGGGCCCTCAGCGAGGACTCATAGATTTGAATGCTGACCCAGCTTTCATGGTCAGAGTGGTCACATCAAGGCCATCATTAGTCAGCCTGTCTGAGCCCTCCCATGCAGAACATCAGATGATGAGCCATCGTTTTGTTTGACCCCTCCCACTAACATCGTCCTGTCCTGATGTCATCACTTAGGTATTTCTGCTCCCTGCTGTCCTCTCAAACCCAAAACATAGTATTAAAGTGAAGCAGTTGAGCCGAGTAAAGCCGTTGAAAATCTCTGTTCTTTATTAAATTAATGTTTACACTCAGAGTTAGAATTAAAAGGGAAATGTGGAGAAATCCTTTATAATCCTTTGATTTGTGGCCACAACACCATAACGGTGAAACTTAACCTGTGACCACTCTGCATTGTTTCCATTCAAGCAATTCATCCTTGTCAGGACTAAAGAATGTGAAGAATGTTTTTGTTGAAGATAAGAACAGATAAAGGTGAATCATTTATGTTGGAAAGAGGATGGCTTATGTTGTTGTATTTATCGAACATTTATCTAACTAGACCCACACAGAAACATTATTATAGTTTAGTGAAAGCAGAAATTGTTCAGGACATGTATAATAGATATAATGCTGTTTAGGAAGAAGAAGGGCTATAGACACAAAGGAGCATTACACATTAAGGTACATCAAAGGAAACTGGTTTCAGTGCCTGACACTTTCTGTTTGAGTGAGTTCAAAGTGAGTTGTGTTTGAGATTGGATGTGGTCATGTAAAAAGAGTTTTCAACCACTAGTGGTTCTGTAAAGTAATGTAATGTTACATGACTGCGCAGTCAGTAATGTAGTAAAGTTCTGTTGATTGCACAGTTGTTAGAGATAATGTGCTCCAAAAGGAAGCAATGTGCCAATAATGGAAGAGAAGAAAATTGTAAACAAGCCGATCCAAACGCTGCAGACTTCAAAACATTAAAAAAAGGGGTTTGCAAATGTTTTATGAGGTAGAAAATGCGTTCAGCATGTTTGTTGCACAATGTACCGTAACTCTAACCCTGTAAACAAAGTCATGTCTGTTTATGATGAAAACTCCACTGGGCACCTTTTTATTCGAGGTTTTGGCAGGCTATGCCCCGCTCTCAAGCTCATGAGGCTTTATCGCAAAGAAAAAAGATTATTGCCATTTCCTTTTCTGAAAGATACTATCTACTGGAAACTGTTGTCATCGCTTTCAGCCTATATTTGACATGCTGCCATTAGATTTGACTGATTTACTCATCTAATTCTTCCCGATATGGACTTTAAGCAAGTGTGTATGTAAGGACATGGTCAGCATCCTTTTTTCCTGTCTACATCCAGCTGGTGCACAGGAAGAGGAGGATGTCAGTGTTGTGATATCATTGTTGTTAAAGCTGTGCTGGCAGGATTCAAATCCTCATCCTCCTCCTCCACCTCTCCTGAGACACAGATTGCTCTGGACTGGGCCTAGTGAGTCCGCTTTTCCAGCTGCTCTCAAATACCTCGTCCGTCTCCACCCATGTGAACTTGGCAGACTATCACTAAAATTACAAGTGCAGGGCACATTAATGCTTTTTCTTTAAAAGTCTTTCTTTTCAAGAGGGAAGGCTGAATAAAAACTGCAGTATGTTGTGTTGCCAAGTTTCAGTCCCTAGATCAGGTCATTACAGTAATTGATTCATTTCTTAACTTGATTATTGATATTCAGGACCTGAGTGAGGATGCACAATTATCCCATTACACTTATTACTAAGTAATTGCATGCTTAGCTTAGCTCCATGGCTGAGATTATGTCTAAGTATTTACATGATGAAATATGGAACTATTCTGCACTAATGGCCAAATATTTGTTCTGGGTTAGACATAAGAGCAGATGATGATTTTTCATTGTCTTAGCATTAAGCAATGGGGGCAATTTTCCAGGTGTGGGGGGCACAGCTGCTGAATGAACACAGGGGGAAACAAGCTGCACTGGATTCATCAGTCACTCAAGGGAGCCATATAATAATTCCCCTAGGCAGCAACTAAATTGTTGGTCATAGCTACAGTGGTGATACTTAAAATACTTAGGCTACCTAAGATAAGAAGCAAGATGAGATATTTAACAGGGATATGGACTTTCAAGATGTATTTATCACCATGCTGAGGGTCCTTTTAATGAGACACTGAACCCCTTCTACTCACTGACCGTCGGGGACAAAATGAAATATTCTCTGTAAACAGATGTGATTTTGGTATTTATACAGGGCAATGAAATGTGTTTGCAATAAGCAAGTTTCAGTAATTTGTATGTGTGAAGTATATCGATTGATTTCGTTTTAGTTGTCACTCCGGGAGGAGGACCTGCGGCAGTGTCAGAGAGAACGAGACGAGGCCGTGCTCAGGGAGACGACTCTGGAGAAAATGGTTCATGATCTGGAGCTGGAGGCCGACAAAAAGGCCCAAGCTAAAGACGAAAAAGCTCGACACGTCAAACTCTTAGAGGTGCATAATGATGTCAAATAAAGCCCCTGTTGACGACTATTAATAGAAAACTGAATTAGATAGAAACACTCACTGACTTTACGGATGTAACTGCTTCGTTCTGCAGGACAGGGTCGCTCAGCTGGAGTTGGACCTGGATGAGGAGCGTCAGACTGGAGACCAGCTGATGAACAGGATAGACCGAGGAAGAGAGCAGGTAAACTCATTCTCATTATCAGTGCTCGCCTGTCACGGTGACCTGCTGCTGCTGTCCATGTCCACTTTAGTTCTCACAGACGTGTCTCTGTTCCATCTCAACATGTAAATGATATCCAGATCTCCTGTTGCTTTGTCTTCCACCGCTAACATCATGACCGCAAACACTAACCTCTGAACAAAACGAACATATGATCCCCACAAAACAAAAATGATCCCGAAAGATTCAATTTACATGATTAAAATGCAGGTTGGCGGGTTCGATCAGTGCTTTGGTGTACGTGCTCACTCTCAGGTGTCTGTGTCTCTCCATATAATAGCCACACTGCAAAATTCCCAGTTTATTTCTGGTCTGGATAAAGTGGACTCGTTATTGCTTTGTAAGATGATCTTGCATAATCATTCAGGTTTGGCGGTCTGCCAGTGTGGTCTGAGAGCGCCTATCCAATTTTCATGCATCAGTCACAAAAGAGCCCTCTTAATGCGCCGCTCGAGCCAAAATATGCGAGTTGCCAAATGTCTCAAGTTTTCAGGTTGTGCGTAATCTTGAGAACAAATACAGTTCTTGTGCTTGAAGTCAGTTTTTATATCCTAGCAAGCAAATGCTCCATTTATCCGTTCTCCCTGAGAAAGCTGCTGACAGAAGCACTATGAAGTAAGATTTATATAATGTACATGTGCTTTTAGGATTGTTCATTGATTGTGGGAGAGTGCTTACTAATCAGAGTAATCTAATCTAATCTAATCACTAATCTTGGTGGTTCTGGAGTTTTTGAAATACAGTAACGCTGCTTCTTTGCAACCCTACCGGTTTATGCAAATGTTTGTCTTGTGGTCAAAGTTTGCATCTCCTTAATATTCAAATAAGCCCAGTTGGCTTTCTGCCACTTCCTGCACTGTGATATTCATTTATCTCTGTTATGTTTGTTAATTTTTAATTTTATTGTTTGAATTGTGCAAAATAAATGAAATGTAAAATATCCAAACACAGGCCTGTAAGGTTTGGCTACAGGTTCGTCTCAGTCTGGAACTGACACAGATTCAAAAGTTGTGACCAAAAAGATGAATTAATGTGCGTCGTGTAGCTCAGTGTGGTCGAGTAGAGTGTTTTAAATCTCGTTAAATGCTTTCCCTGTTTTAAAAACTCCTGGCAGTGAGTAAAGAGTGGCGTCGGGACAAAGTGGCGTTGGTTCAGCATGAGGCTGAAGTCGGTTGTCAAGGCAACACTTGAGCTTTGTGCACTCAGAGTGGAGTATGGTTGAGTGCTAGTGGTGTGTGTTTGTCAGTGCGCGCACACACACACATGCATGCGGGTATGTGCTGGTGTGTGTGCTTTAATGTCTGTGGGGAGGAGAGGGGGGGGGGATGTATGGCTATGGGGTGGTGAGGTTGCAGCAGAGGCAGCAGGAAGAACACCTGCGTCTCTCCTGACACCAGGTGCTCCTCTCCTGTCTAAATGAGAGTAATCTCCCCTCTCCTCTCCTGCCGTCTTTCACAAAGCAGATTAGTTTCGCTGTATGTTCCAGTCTGCTGATTCAGCTCCCTCAAGCACTGTGCTGGGTGCACCAGTTATAGGGGCCATCGTTCATCAGAGCAGCCCACTGTCACCCACTAATTGGCATAAAATATCACCAATTCTAAGCTCCCCTCACAAAGAAAGAACCATCACCGCTGTATCGATTTCTTTTCATCCTTCGTTCTTTTAAACCAGGCTATCACTGAGCAGTCATGTTCATGCAGCAAGGCCTCTCTGGGTTGATGTTGTGTTCAGAGAGTGGATATATGATGACACCAGATTAGTATTAAAGGAATACTTCGACTTTTTGGGAAATACACTCATTCACATTCTTGCTGAGAATTGGACGAGAAGATCTACGTATACCTCTTTCTTATCTGTTTGTTAAATATAAGGCCAGCAGTAACTTAGCTCAGCTTAGCATAAAGACTGGATACAGGATGAAACAGCTGGCCTGGTGACAAAATCATACTGTATTAACATAACCCCATGTAAAACCACAACTGTGCACGAACAATATATAACATGTCGGTGGGCTTCAGAGGTGCTGATAGGTGGATTTGGTCAATTAAGATCACTGCCTGCAGGTGGAAGCTTCATATTTTCCACAAATCGAATAACCACATTAACCATAATCTTTCACTATTCCTTTTAATGTTGACACAAAAGTGTTGCCAAGTCCACAGCTATATTTTCTGCACAGAAAACAATGATGGTCAATGATTTATTATATATTTTCTTTTTTACTACAACGCTGTGTCACTGAGTAGACATGATAGAATGGTGCCAAACAAGAAAAACCAGATCACCAATTAACCAAAGCCCTTTGAGCATTAACTCTTCTATTGTTAAGCCTTTTGAGTCACTGAGCGCTGCTGTGGTTTTTGGTGTGACTGAGACACAGACATTGTCTGATAATAATTGTCATCAGACTGTTTGGAAGTGTAGCGATGACAGTGTCTGGACTCGGCTTGACAGGTGGAGCAGATGAGGAATGAACTCCTGCAGGAGAGGGCTAGCAGACAGGACCTGGAGTGTGACAAGATGGCTCTGGAGAAACAGGTACACACTCTCCTGTCTGGAGGAAAACAACTACACACAGTGTTGCTCTGCAAACTCAGAACAAAGCACCAACCCATTTCATTCACATGTCTTTTCATCATTTTCATTTGATTGTATCCATTCTCATGTCAATTTCTAATTCATATTTTTGATACATTGATAATATGGTACAAACACACTCACTCACTACTTCTCCCTTTGTAACCTCTCTAGACCAAAGACCTGAAGAGTAGAGTGGTTAATTTAGAGAGCTCCCACAAGTCCAACAAAGAGGGCCAGCTTTCCCAGCTGGAGGACCACATACAGGATTTGGAGGCGAGGCTGGAGGGGGAGGAAAGGTGAGATGAAGGCTCCGATGGGGAATAAAGATGAGGTGTGCTGTGGTCAAAGTGATGGAAGAGGGAAAGTTGACTGAAAAGTAAAGAGGTTCATTAGGCTGGGTATGCAAGCCAGGTAGTGTCTTCCAGATAAAAGTTAGACACTGATGGATTCAGCTTATATAGGAGAACACATCTAGAATATTGATTTCAATGACGTAGATCAATTGGAATTGTGACAGTGACTTTAAAATAATTTTCTTATTGAGAGAAATAGTCCAAGTCTGGGTAAACAAACCTTGTGGAGAATCTGACCAGCTCTTAATACATCTAGGTGAATGATTTGCTGCACTACATGTACAGTATGCTGATGCATGGCGTATATGTTTCAGGGAGCGTGCCAACCTGCAGCTGGTGAACCGCAGACTAGAGAGGAAGGTAAAAGAAATGATGATGCAAGGTGAAGAAGAAAACAACTCAATGCAAGATCAAAAGGATCAAGTACGTAACCAACTCATTTTAACTCAATCTAATTCAAGGTCTGTAGTAAATTAACATAGTGAACATATTTGTTGATCTGTGTTTGGTTCTTCTTGAAGTTGAATCTGCGTCTAAAGGCCTTAAAAAGGCAGATGGATGAGGCTGAAGAAGAGATCGACCGACTGGATCACAGCAAGAAAAAGCTGCAGAGAGACCTGGACGAGCAACAGGAGGCCAACGAGCAGCTCCAGAGCCAACTCAAAGCTCTGCGAAGTGAGATCAGGTAAACGCATAAAAGCAATTTGTCAACCGTAACAGACTAAAATAGGAAAAGGTTTAAATATAATACACAGACATTCTCAGTGTCTTAGTTATTATATTGTTTTGTGTCATCCAGGCGTAAGAGCACATCTGCTCCGCTGCTCAACACTCTGGACGACGACGACGACGACGACGACGACGATGACATCAGCACTGACGGGGAGACGTACTTCAGCTCATCACTGGGGTACAAGCGCTCCTCGAGTCAGGACAACATCTTGTCCACCTTCACTTTGTAAACAAACCCTGAGGTGGAGGATAATGCTGCTTTATATGCGTCACTGTTGGTCTTAACAGCTGGAGATTCGTGCCATGTGCTCTTTGAATAACTGTAGATATTACACCGAAACATCTGTGTGATTAATTATGTATACAATCTCAATGTCCATAAATTCCCTCAGTATTATTTGAGCAGCTTTGAGATTAATGTATGAAATCGTAAAAGTTTGATGTTTTAGATTGTCCCGTAGATTTTAAATGTATATACTGTTTAATGTGGTATTTTTACATTCCCAAATGAAGTCTTATGTAAATTTGCCAGTTTTATTCTGAGTGGATTTTTCTTTGTAATGCACTGTAAAGCAACGCAACCAGTACTGCCTTTGTGAACAATATGAGGTTATTAACCCTCAGTTTTTATGCCTATCAAATATGTTAAATTTACCTACATTATATGGATATTCATTTTTATATCATTCAGTCAAATTAAATATATTTACCTTTTTATTTTTTTTAATGAATTAAGATCAAATCCAAGTATATGAAGTGATGAGTGCCAGGATGATTTTCTTATTTATTCACGGCTTAATACACAATATCCTGGCTCATTGAGGGTTTTAGGGAACAGTAAATGAGGGACTTTGTACACATCTGTTTTATACAGTTTTATATGGTTTGATACAAATAATAGATCCACGAAAATATTATCAGCAGGCATTTCTTTTAATTTTATCGAACACATTACTCCAAATATTAGTGAAATCACAGTATTGCTTTAATTTCATTTAACATCATGTGACCTAAATTAACTTTCTCGAGTCTTTTCTATGACTATTGATTCTGACTTCTAGCTGTTACAGCGCTGAACAAGCCACACATGTCAAACATTTAATCTCTGAAGACATTTTTATACTGGAAACACTTTGATTTACCTTCTATCTTTGGTGGTTTCTCTCCTGAATGGGGCAGTGTTGATACTGAACATGGCTTAACTTTTTGTTTAAACTCATACATGTGTGTTTGAATTGTGCCACACTGCACATAAAGGCTTGCAATTCCTTGTACATGTGCAGACCTCTAATTTTCCTTGAAGTCAATAAGGGAATTTCTTCAGATGAGATAAACTGACAGTTGATGTTTTGCTACACTGATGATTTGCACTCTCTGTTGGCTCTGTGCTGAATACGCCCGAGTGTGACAACTGTGGAGTGGATTGAGAGAAATTGCTGCCACTACCTCTCTGTACACATTTGTATGTTCATAAATCCTGCTGAGACTAAAATAAAGTTACTTCCAGTTACACTCACATGCTTTTCCCTGTTAAATAATTCCTGGCAGCTGATTTTAACATTTAAACATCCCTTCCAGACATGTTTTAAGAGGTGTTGAGTACAGAATGAAGAATAATTTAACTCATTTGTGTGTGTTATGGTTTTTTTCCACAAAAGGTCCAAATACATATTTTCAATTTCTTAATACATCTACTTATTTTCCGTCATTGAAAAATGTATTAATATGAAAATATTAATAAATTAAGATATGTGGCTATAATTAGTTTCAGTTTTCAGATCCCCTACTTGAGAAAAGAAAATCAACACTGCCTAAAATTCCTGCATTTTAAGTAAAATATTGTCAGCAAAATGTAAATAAGAGCTCCTTCTAAATGGCCTTTTTCAGTGTTTTAATAGATAATCATCACCTGTATTAAAATGTGTGCAGTTACTTCAATGTGGAGCTGATTTTAACTGTTATATGACGATAATTTTGTGTTTTATTCCTAAAATACGTGATTAAAATCTGACTGTTTGGGTAGATTATTTTAATCTGTTTCTGACAGAAATTAATTTAGAATTATTCACTTTTTTTTTACAATACAATACAACTTCTAGGACTCAATTTTGGACACAATTACTGCAAAATGTGAAATCTACAAAGCTTTTTAAGCAATCAGAGAAAATGTAGTGGAATAAAAAAGGTGTAAAGTAGGTTTCGACTGAGACGATTGGCTCAGCCTAGTGAGGTTTGCACACTGACTTCATTCATCCTGCGATAAAATCTCCGCGGGGTCAAAGCAGCTGTGTCAATAGCGGCTCTTTATCTTTAATTTTGTACTCGGTGTGTCAATGTTTTTCCTGCTGGAACATATGAAGCATATGAATCCTGTGTTTGGGCCTGATCACCTTTCAGTGCAGAGCTTTGACCTCCTTCAGGCTTTGGGGTAAAACAAAATAAAAAATCCTGGTGTCTAGTCGGAGCAAGCGGTTGAAAGTAATTGATGTGGGTCACATTGTCGAGATCTTTTTACACCTTGATATTAAAGAGTGTTTTTCTGTGACAAAAAAGCCCCATTAATCTACTTTGATGTCGTGTTTTAAAATGATAAAGCTGGAGGCGTAGACTTCCAAGTCCGAAAAAGTCTCTTTACAACCTACAGCTGATTACAGCAGAACAAGGAGGTGAACAGATGGGGCTTTCTTATTCGCACTGGCCTACTGGCTATTGTTGGCAGGGCATGACCTTCATTTGTTGCTATTCCATGGGGAACAAACAAATCAACCTTTCGAGTGCCACAGTATTATCTCGCTCTCTCTCTCTCTCTCTCTCGTGTCAAGCCAAGCAGTAAACTAATAGGGGCTGCAGACTGGACGGCTTAAGAGGGGAAAGTTGTGTATGCTTAACAAGGTGATCATTCTTGGGATTCCTTTATGTGCTTGAGTGACTTCAACCAGAGAGACTGCTGAGAAAGAAAGAGGTAAGCAGCTGAGAGAGAGGGAACTGTGGGAGTTTTCTAATGTACAGGGTTTGAGAGGCTTCTCGTTTTCACATGGAGCTCTCTATTTCACAGTTCTAAATAGGAAACATACAAGTATAACAAGTCTTACAGGGATCCAGAGACAACTCTGGCGTTAAGTGTAGTGGACAGAAATACTAAAAACAGCTTGTGATCATTCCTGTTAAAATGTCACAGTGCCATGCTGCCCCCTAGCTGTAACAATGGTACTGGCTTTCATAGTTTTGGTTCTCTGAGTTCAATTATGTTTCTACAGGTATATACAGCATTAATAATGACGTGGTGAACAGTAAATGGTCCATAAGTGGGAGTGGAAGCTTGTTATTATCACAGAGCCGAGCTGTCAGACCTCTGCAGACCCAGAGGGACATAAAGGGGGGAGTCTGTCTCCCACTCAAATAATATGTAACACCCAATACTTCCATCTTGATGATGAATAGCTCGCTATAAGACTTTTGTGAGTGATTATTATGATATTTATGACGTTTACAGAATGTAGTGCTCATAAGAGGTATAAGACCTTTGTCAGCAACTTTACATGCTGTGGTCCGGCCTAAATATATCCTCATATTCTCAAATCTTATTTGAAGATCACCACCCACAAAGTTGCGTTGAGTTTTGGTGTCGAGTAATACAAGTAATGCTGCTCAGGCTCTGTACAATGACACCAAGGTAAACATCCGCTCGACACCTCAGGCAGTGAATACTTCAGTACAGCAGGACAAACTTGCTTTCAGGCCTCGTGTGTTTTGAGTCACTCTCATGCATCTCAACTCTTTGTGTTTTACATGGCTGAGTCCATTTCTTAAAAAGTAACAGAGGAAGATCTTGTTCAGAATTAAATCAATTATGTGGAGGAATTATTTTGACAAATTGACATATAGATTTTGATTAGAAAACGTGAAAGATGATCAGATTAGTGTCAGATTATATTTGTAGTTATTGCAAGGTTCCACACAACATTGTCGCAGTATCAATCATCACAGGCCTGAGCTATAAAAGAGATAACAGAAGAAGATAATTTATCCTTTATGGTCACTACTACTGTACAATCAGCAACCAGCCAGTCCAATGGGCTCCTCCCCTTTTGGTCACTTAGATCACTGAACAAGTGATTTATCTAAAGCTGTTGTCATTTCCTTTCCATTGGAGACACAAGGCGGTTTTTTCAAGGTTGGTTCAGGTCTATTTTAATACTGTCAGGCAACAAAATCCACAGTTCTAATTTTGTGCCTGTTTTTGGTACCAAAATTCCTCTGTGTTACTTTCCCTCAACAAGGAAAGTCTGTTTGTGGAAAGACAAAGAGGGAAAGACTGTAACTCTGGAACATCCCCATTTGCTAAGGTTTCATATTAGCTTCAGCTGAACTTGAGAAGACATTTTCACACAGAATGAGGACTGTGGAGTTTGTCCCTCATCACTTAACATGATGAATTGTTTTCAGAAGGAATGTCTTTGCAGCCAGCATGGATGTTAGTGTTGTTGTTTTAAGACAAATTACAAAAAAAATAAAAAAATAAACCTTTAAAGAGCACGCATTTGTCTGTACAGCAGTAAGCAACAATATTCAGCCTTTAAAATTGTACTAATTCCATCTCTCTGGCTAACAGAACGTAGCTATTTTTGAACAACCCTAAAATCAATGAATGTAAATTACAGTCAGATGCTTTTTAAGGTTTCCACACATTCCAGAAAACAATGCAGCATTGTGAAGCTGTGCCATTCCAACACAGACAGCACATTGTCTCTCAGCAGCCGTAATGGTGCTTTTCTGTCAAGCAAAGACACAAATCAACACAAATCTGAACAGACAACAGAACAGACAACAGTTATTGTCGTTGGTTTCAACAGAAAAACTGTTCCCACACAGGAGAGAAGATCAAACACCTGACCTGCATGCAGCAACAAACAACACACGCAACTTACTCGTAATCACTTATTACGTACTGTCACTCATTATCTTCCAGTGGTTGAGAAAGCACTCAGTGGCTATACCCCACAGTAATAGTAAAATATTACCATTATTATAACACTACAAGTAAAATAACACAAGACACAAAAGCACTACTCGCAAATGTACTGCTAGTTAAAGTATCTCAAATGTCCCCTGTGAGTGTTGAACTATTATAATATAATAAGATTTTTAAAACTGATGCATTGTGTGTTTGCTGAATTGTAATATTGTAGTTGGTAGAGCTAATTTTCATCAATTCTTTAGGGCTGCAACAATCGATTCATTACTAAAATATTCATAAATGCCCTTGATAACTTTTTGGCATGATTTAAACTGACATATAATTGTTCTGTTTCAGTCATGTGTTCTCCACATGAATCTGGTCTTGTTGTAAGAAACAAAACAGTGAGAGCACAATCAAAACTGGAAGTAAACATGACATGTATATGGGAGAGGATTTCCACATGACATTGGACTTGGCCAGAGGCCTGGCTCACTGATTGCAGAAGTAAAGAAATACCATTTGTTTGACGTCTGGTTACTCATTAACCTGCCAGACCTGTAGAAATACCTCTTATATTGTTCTGGAAATTTTTCTTTTTTATATTTATTGACATATATTTTGACATCAGCTAACAGCTGATCTTTGTTGAAAAATAAGAACAAGCACTTGCTTGGCAACTTTCAGCCTTTAAACTTGACTCTCCATTCCTCTGTGACTCCAGTGCGTCTCTAGTTTCTATTAAAAGGGAGTGACTGCAGTCCATTCATACAAGGAATGTGATCTGTCTGTTCAGATGATTATCTGTCTGTTCCTTAAAGATATTTGACAGAATGAGTGAGTATATGTTGATGAGCGTAAATTCATCATGTAAAACTGAGTGAAGTTGTAGTTTTGAGGCAGAAGGTAACAATAATGTTTGCTGTGTTGTCATACTTTTCATCACCATCCACCATCAACAGTATCAATAATGTATTGGCTTAAGCAACTCCTGTATTACAAGACACCTCCTGTACCTTTAGTATAAGGTTATTATTTCTGCCTCTATTTAATCGGAAGAAGAGCTTTTCATTCTCACAGCGGCAGTGCTGGAAGACTTATTCAAAGTACCAATACAACACTATACAAATACTCCATTATGAGTAAAAGTCCTGTATTCAAATTTTTACTTAGTAGCAGCAGCAAAGTTTACTCAAATGATCACAAGTAAAAGTATTCATAATGCGGCATGATCCCTGCAGTATCAGTTCTACATTATTGTATAACTGGATCATAATTATTGATGTATTAATGTGTAAACACTTTTAATTAGTCAGGGTGGAGCTCATTTGAACTACTTTAACTACGCAGTGTTGGGTACTTTAATCTTTTATAATACATTATGTGTTATACAATTATCATCTGTTTTGTTTGTAAAATCCTAATCTGAAAAGTGACCATAACTAAAGCTGTAGAATAGTTCACCTCTGAAATGTGATGGACTGAATGTGTAAAGTATAAGCTCAAGTAAAGTAAAAGTTCCTTAAATTTGTACTTAAATACAATACTTGTAGTGTGATTAATACGATTTTGCATGTACAGCCCTGACAGGTGTCAAACTGTGACGTGAACAGTAAGTACCAACACCTCCTATCAGCCACTCCTGTTGATACAAGGGCTCCACCTGTTCCAGCCCAAGAAAGAGGCCCCTCCCTGTGAAAGTCATGCTCTCAGGGCAGAAAGGCACAAACCAGGGAGGCAACTGAAATGTGGCCCGACAGGTCTGATGGGAATGCAGAGACGCACACACACACAGAGAGAGAGAGAGAGAGACAGAGAGAGACAGAGAGAGACAGAGCGAAAGAGGCAGGCAGGTTGCTGATAGACTGACCACCCTGTCAACCAGGTGGAGTTAGGAGCAGTCAGGCTGGAATTAAGACAATGACACAGTTGTATTTGTGTTGCTGAGTGTAGGACTGGATTTCACCTGATCATTTCACAGACGGAGAGGGAACCTCTGCCCTGTGGACTCCCACTAGCACCAGACTTGACAGAGTGGAATTTCCCTCCTCTTCCCTGGCTGGAGCCAGGGGCAGATGGTCGCACAGAGAGTCTAAGCAGAACTCAGGAAGTGAGAGGAAGGGAGGGAGGAGGTCCGGAGAGGGAGAGGAAGACAAACGAGTAGTGGACAGAAGAGGAGACATGCTTCGCTACGGTGCAGGACGAACTGTTTCCACCACCACCAGAACAGAGGACTCTCCAAAGCCTTCAAGTGAGGTAAGAAGTCCTAGATGAGTCAGGACACTGAAACTCTCCTTCTGTCTCCCCCCTTTTCTCTCTTCCTTCTCCTCTGTGTTTTACAACTAGTCCAGTGTTTTCCCCCCTCCCTCTTCTGTTTGTCTCCCGTTTCCTTTTAACTCTTGAACCACTGGTTTCTTGTCTGTATACACTGAGTTACATTCTCCCAGTCCCAACAAACATTTTCTGTTCCCTAATCATCTAACAGTTTGTTATAGGATGTGCTCACTTGCAGGAGCATGTAATGTGAGCTGAGTGTGCAGGAGGCACGGCTGTCATGTTTATTTGAACAGCTCTCTGATAAAACAGGCCTTTGTACTAAACAGGCCTTTAAACTTATTCCCATTGTTTTCTAATGAAGAAAGAACCTATTCTGATTCAGTAAACTGAGTATGAATATGTTCATCACTGCTTTTACGTTTTTTGGGGAATAACCAAACAAAGGACTCATTGTGGTGTAAATTTTAAAATGCATCCGTAAACACAGTTTTGGAGCATTTACATAAACTTTGTTTACAGCTCTGTTTCCATTGACTATAAATAAACACACCATTCTCTGCCTCAGTTTCAGTGATGTTTCAATGTCAACTCTTCTGTATTTTCTCACGGTGACATAATGCCAACATCAATTTGTGTGCAGAACATCATTTATTTGCTTTTTGTCTGTTTGTTTTTCTCAGAGGAGGATCCTCAGGTTAACTCTACAAGCAGGAGATAATGGACTCAAGGAGCCAACAACCACAAACTCAGACACAGTAAGTCGTATGTAAATCCCTCATTGAAATTCTACAATTAACCATGCTGCATCCTGCCTATAAGCCTTGCTTGACACCACTATTTAGATAAAGGTTTAATGAACAGAGTTAACTTAAGCCACTCTCACCAAGGCACTCTCAAAAATAGGGATCTAGGAGAATGATCAGCACTGAAAATACAACATTAATTCGTCATATAATACAAATAAAAGAAAGATGGTGGAGCCACTGAGATTTATGTGTATTTCATCATCTGGACCAGTTACACAATCATGACAGATGGGTGTGTGTATGTGTGTGTGTGTGTGATAATGCACACACAGCTGTTTCACATTTACTTCAAAGCTAAAGTCCAACTCTGTGTTGTAATCTATTCCATACAATAAAAAATATTCAAAATGAACAGAAAATATATTCGATATCCCACATGAAACACCTTAGACACAGTATGAAGACAAACGCTGGTAACTAAACAAACACGTTGAAGTGCATGAGTACATTCTGCACAGTCTTCATGTCTGTTTGTCTGATTGTGAGTACGCTGCAGGCTGTGTGAGTGTTTGCTATAGGTGGCTCTGCCCCTGCCTTTGTTTGCGGCCCAGAGGCCAGAGATTGACAGGGAGAGTGTGAGACCTGATTGTGATACTTTGCTTATTGTTGGCATTGAGAGGGTTTCTGGTCCTTAACGTGCTGAATCCTTACAGAACCCTAGTGGTGTGTTTTGTATGAACCTTGGGCAGGGAGTATGGTATTCGTCTAGTTACCACACCTCCACTGATAGCACGCTACCACAATCTCTGAATGTGCTTCCTTCTGGGAGGGTGTGACCATGACGATTGGAACTGATGACAGAGGACAGTCTGGTCAAGAGTGAGCACGAAGTGGAGTAACAGCCATGTGCTCGATGATGATGTGTACTTTAGTGTGTGTTTAGTGAAGATACAAACTCTGCACCACTGCAACTGTGCAGCTCATTCTGCACAGACCTGCAGCTCTAACAGCAGTGTGGCACTTTTACTTTTTTTCTTTTTTTTTAAGACAATAAACTGAGGCACTGAGGTGCAATGAAATTGGTGGTAATAAATGTAGAGAGTAAAAACACAATAGTAAGAAATGGCCTTGGAGGGGTAATAACATCTTGGGAAAGGTACTTATATTCTGTCAAGAGGTGTCACAAAGACTGGAAACAGGAGGAAACAGTTTCCAGTCTAAGCTTAGCTAACCAGCTGCTGGCGATATCAATCTCTAAGAATCAGAAAGAAAGGGAATAAATGTATTTCCCAAAAGGACAATTTAAACCACTGGTATAAGGTCCAAAGGTTTCCACGAACATAAAATTGTGATGATGCCCACTCACTCAATATAACCTAATGTAAATTCACTGAAGTCGTATCACCATCTAATATACTATAATGTGCATTTAAAACTGGACAACAGTGTGGAAAAACATAACTTTGAAGCCACTTCAGGGGAAACTGAAACTAGAAAATCAGGGTTCAAGAGGTTAAAAACTCACCTCTGTGTCCTCTTCATGTGCTCATTATGTATTCAGCGCTGAGCTTAGGGCTCTGTGCAGTCGCTGCTGCAATTGCTGTGACACGTAACGCTGTCGTTATTGCAACAGCATTTAGTTTGAGTACCAGCACAACGTTCAAAAGTGGCACAGCAGGAATGATTTTACAGTCAACTTTTTTAATTCCTTCATTTACATATGAAGCATTTACGTCCTTTTTTTTCTTTTTTAGCCAATGTGCTTTGACAAATTTCCACTGAAGTTGCTCAAACTTAAATTTTAGATGTAATCGAGAGGGAAGGTCAAATGCAGATCAGTTGCATCTTTTTGATTGTGTATTTTTGTGACTTTGTGAAGAGAAAGGAAAAAGAGAAGGCGTGAACTTAATCAAGGAGGAAGGATATGACAGAAACATCCTCTGCTAAAGATATTATGCTTCAGTAGGAACGCTGGGTTAAGTGGTTATTCACCATAAAATTAGAAAGGGTGTGTCCTGCAACCTGAAACATCATGGACACAATCCAAGCAGTGACTATGGCCTAGATGAGATGCAAAACATCTGCACCAGGACGCACACACAGAGGACTTAGACACAGTTGCTACATATAGAAGTTTCTACACATACATTGAATTTCATCTCCACAACGGATGAAAGTCTCTTCAACGTGAACACAATTCAGCACAAAGAGATACATGAGAGCTAATCTAGTCAGTCGAGTCCTTCTTAATGCTGCCGTAAGACAAAGCAGTCAGTTAACAATTGACATAGTAAAATGTTTGACAACGACATATAGTTATGTCAAAGGGATATCTTTGAGTCGTCTTTACATGTTTACATGATTCTGGGAGTCAGTGACTTGTGCGGAGGTCATGGTCCTCAGAGCAACAAAAGAAAACAAAAACCTGTGTTTTCCTTCCACCAATATTACATGGCTGCAGTTTCAGTTACAGTCAGGTTAACATTGTCCACCACAGTGTGGGGTCAAGAATTTGCATTGTAAAAGTCAGAGCTGAAGTGACAGCACATAGAGCATTGTTATTCTGCTGCAGTGTTGTTAAAACATAAACATGGCTTTCCTTATCTTCCATCTGCTGGAATTCGGATCAGCCTATTAGCATGCCTTCAACATTCCTCAACAGCATGTCCTCTGTAGATGAAGAGGTAGAGAAATATGAGGCATGGCTCTGTCCACACGACAACACTGGCGTCTTTGTTCTAGCTCCTCCTCACTCTTATCTCTGAGAGATGGGGAGACTGACGCCTATCTATCTATCTATCTATCTATCTATCTATCTGTCTGTCTGTCTGTCTGTCTGTCTGTCTGTCTGTCTGTCTATTTTGGCTGGAAAAAGCTTTTCAATTCAAAGTCTGCAACAGACCTTAATTGGTGGAACAGATACAGTTCCCTAAAGGTCCCCTTCCTAGACAGTATGATCTCCAGATAACTAAGTCAACATTGTCGCACTGACACATAAACAAGCTCAGCTCATAAAGCACTACTCTGATGCACACCCATACACAAAAACATTTGGAGAAATGATCTAAAACGAAAATATAATAGAGACTCCAGGCACTATAAAAAATGTAATATACACATACAAGTAGAAAACGATGCAACATATACAAATTAAGACAGAATGAGGGCAAAATTATTTAAATATGAAAGATAATAAAATGGCAAAAATTTCCAAAACAGTTTGTTTGCCTTCATTCTTGGCACCTAGATGTGACCAAACACAATGACAGACTAGAGTGAATTATTGCAACATAAACGTTGCTAATTACAAGGTCTTTCAGTGCCGCAGAATGTGTACACAAAATAATAACACTTATTTTGAACATTTGTGTGAGTATTGTATTATTATTTGTGCCTTCTTTCTGTAGGCTGAGAAAGAGAAGGATGTCAATTGGGCGTGGAAGAAGAAGAATGGGCTGATCCAGAGAGAGAGGCCGGCTGGCAGGGAGTCACCTCAGCAGGTAGACAGCCGCATCCAACACATGAATAATAGGCATGACACTGCCACTGCTTCAGCATGTGTGTCACTGACATTCTGTAAAAACACCTTTCTGTGCATGCACCTTAAGGCTGTCATTAATAATGTATTCACGGATATTCAACATGAGCATGTGCTTGTCGATGACTGTAACAAATTCCACGTCTGAAGTCTGTCTTTGTAGCTGTATAGAGATAATTCTTTCTAATCTCCAAACAAAACCCCTTTCACGACGGTACTAAAATATTTATGGAAATGTAATCTCTAGGTTTCAGTTCTGTAATGTATTGGTGCCCAGGACTATAACTGTCATTTGTTATTTAGTCAGTGCATTGTTTAAAATGCTGCACTTCTTCTCGGCTGGTGTGCATCAGTCGCCTGGCTGCCAGAGGTACAATAGGCAGACACGCAGCAGCTCATTTACTGGGTTGCAGAAACATGACACCTTCAATACACCCTGCACTTTTTTTTAGCTGGTTGTTCCCAGCCTGTTTCCAGTGCTCAGCAGCAGTAGTACTGGAAATACTTGATCAAGTGTACATACGCAGGCATGTGCTTCCACGCACAAACACACAAACATGGGATGCACTTGAAAGTGTGCATTTGTGCACATAAGCGAACACACAAACACGCGGTAGACGGTAGAAGTCAGCCTCAGTGCAGGGTGGCTGCAGAAACCTGACCGGTGCGATCCTGTCTCCCTCAGCACCTCAGAGACATGGCCAATGGGGCTCCAGAGACCGCGCAGGAGAATCAAGGGCCCAAAGTGTACGGCGTAGTGCAGACGGGTTCGGACAGTCAGCAGCAGGTGATGGCGCGAGAGTGGACGGTCACTCACCTTCAGGATGAGATGAAGTACATCAGGGAGGTGAGTGGAAACTAACAAACAGCCGGGCCTTTACGTCATCTATGCAAGGCTGTGTGGGATGTAGTGTGGATAATATCTGTAAGTTTTGTGTATACAGGTGAGAGATTCGTTGGAGAAGGTGAGAGAGCGGATGTACGGGCAGTTTGGAGGAATGCAGCAATCAATGCAAAAGCTTTCACAGGAAATCAGGGTAATTAATTATGTAACACCGTGCTCCGAACTCCCTCATCGAACTTCAGTCTTTCAAGCTGTGAATAAATGTGAAAATGCAATGTGCCATGTGTGTATGCAGGCTGCCAATTCACATCAGAGGAGTCTGGAGTCAGAGGTGAGGGTCCGGACGACAGCCATGGAGAGCTTCGATCAGATGAACAGCTCCCTTATAACTGCTAACATCGGCCTGCAGGTAACAAATCAATGTCACTGAGTCTGTAAAGACCTGCTCCATGACAGCTGCATGCCGTCAAGGAGAGGACTCGCTTGATGACTAAAATAAGTTTCCTTTGCAGAAATCTCTTCTAGAGAACTGTCAGCAAAGAGTAGACACGAGAGACGAGGTGAAAAGTTTGCAGAGCACCTGTGACAAAACAAAAGAAAAACTCAGAGACAAGGAGAAAGAGCTGGCAGCCACGCAGATTGAAAACCAGACTCTGAGACTGCAGGTAATTACATCTCTTCATCCTCATTCACACATACCCTGATGCATCCACACAACTCAATACATGACACAAAAAAAACCTGCACTGGCACATTTATTGAGATGTAATCCACCCAGCAGGTGTTACAAGTGGCCTGTTCCAAAATGGTCTGATGAGTTAGTAACATTAGAGAGGGTCAAGATGTGCGCTCGCTTGCATTAGACAGCAAACAACCCCAATTTCAAAGATTTAAGACGTATGAGAATCAGCAGATAAAGTAGTACGCTTTGATCCAGCAGATTTGACAACAGATCAGCTCACTGCAGCACACTAACACATCAGCTGCATCTTCTATTCTACTGTCAGTATGGAATAATCAATTTTTGCTGTGCTGTGAATTTTCCAGGTGGAGTCTGCACGGGAGGCCAACAGTCAGGCGCTGCAGGAGCTCTCAGCAAAGCTACAGCAGGAGTACGAGGAGAAGCTGCAGGAGGAGCAGCGGAAACACAGGGAGGAGGTTGAAGGCCTACAGGTCTGCATTCTTTACTCCTTATTCATTTACTAAACATATAAAGTTTCAGTGCCAATAAATACCAGCCTTTATGTTTCATAAGAACAGGATGAACGTGTGATGATTACTTGACACGTTTCACAAAGTTTGGATTACAGTGAAAATTTATCTCGAGAGAAAATGTATTCTAACTGACAAAAATGTAGATGCTACATTCAGTGTTGTAGTAGTGGAGATCGGTCTTGGTCTCAAGACCACTTTTTGAAGGCCTTGTTCTTGTCCTCAAATCAACCACCTCTTCATTCAGTCTCAGACAAAGAAGACGCTTGCATTTTATTTCATCACTAAACTGCCTGTGCAGATTTATTGTGATTGCTCATAAAAAAACGAAGGGAAATTCCCACACATAAAATTCACCTCTGCAGAGCTGCTTTATCAAGACATTTCTAATGGTTCACTTATACATACGCACATATAGAGTATAAGTGGCGATACAAGAGGTAATTCAAGAGGAATAGTATTTGTATTCTGTTGGTGTTTTTATGGGAATGTGGATCTTTCGGATCAATTTGAAGAGTACCCATATGGTTTGCGCGTCTGTTTTTTTCATCATAAGTGTGTCATACATTGAGGGACTTGCACTGGTCTAGTTTTGGTCATAACTTGGTCTCGGTTCAGGAAGTCTACAACACTACAATGCCACAACACTACAATGCCACAACACTGACGTATGATGAGCCGTTTTACATCTAATCCCCAAGTGTATGTCTGCTCACACAGGCTCAACTCGATGAGTACATCAGGCGACTGGAGGAAGCAGAGAGAAACATTAGAATTGCAGAGGCCAAGATTGCTGAGAGAGACCAGAGGATCCTTGAAGTGGAGCGCCTACTGGACTGTATGGGAAACGTAAGGCAAAATTTTAACATGACAAAGATACTACACTTCTTGCAGATATTCAAAATTGACAATGAAAACATATTTTCACAGGAAAAGAGTCAACTCAGCAAGAAGCTGCAGGAATGTGAACAGCGTCTCCGCTTGATGGAGCTGACAGACACAACTGATTCAACTGTTGTCAAAAGGTACAAAAATAATTCCCACATAAACCAGTATGACGAATCCCAACTCGAGGTCAACTTACTAGCTTTTTTCTGAGAATTTACACTGTATGACACAGTCCTGTTGGAGGAGCTCAGCCCGACAGAGAGAGCTGTGGAAATGCTGCTTCAGCGTGATATTAAATGACACCAAAACGAATAAAAAAACACCAGCAACGTTGGAGCTGATTAATACTTCAATCTTTAATAATCCAGGGAAGTTTAATACTGAGTTTCGGTAGCCTTCCTCCAGATAATGTCAAATGTAATGTTGTAGAAACATGGCGGTGCAACATGGCGGATTCTTAGTTTCAGGTCATTATACACTTATGAAAACGTAGTTTTGCTTATTATATTGCATTTCTGCCAATTAATCCCCCTAAATGTTACACATTGTTCATTTAAAGACTGCAAATCAATCAGTATGCTGCAGTCCTTTTTTTCCTTCTGAAGTTTGTTATCCTCGATCGGAGAATCGCTGAAGCGGCTGCACATTTCTAGAAGAGATAAAACCCATTTTCACCAGCATGATAGATTTATATGTGGGTTTACCTGGTTTCTCGTTCTACTTAGGTCCAAAGAGCTGCAATCTGAATCTGCGGATCTCCGTGAAAGAATCAAACACTTGAACGACATGGTGTTCTGCCAGCAGAGAAAAGTCAAAGGAATGATCGAGGAGGTGAGGAGAGGTTATTTATCCGCGGCACCTCTGTTCTTCTTGTGTTTTCGTAATGGGTGTGGATGCGATGCAACGTCAACTGAAGTAGAGGAAGTATGTTTACCAACCAGTGTATGGATGACGTCAATGCACACAAGAAATATAACACATAATCTGAACCACAGTCAATAAAGGGTGGAGCGTTGTGCTGGCCTATTGGTTTTAGATTATCTAAAGATAAAGGTCTTTACTGGCCCCTCATGAGTTCATAAGACAGTTTGGTTTTTCAAAAAGTTCATCCTTGTATTCAGTATCCATTATACTGTAGCTAGCAGGAATATTCTTGAAGGGTTGCACTGTTTTTTCAACGGTAACGGTTTATTTTATGGGTCTTTATTTTCTGAATCATTTCCAAGAACATTCCTGGAAATAACTGTGATTTGTTTTTAATATATATTGAGTAAAATAAAGACAGTGTTCAATTAGTACATTTTTCAATACATTCTAATGAACTGCTAATGCAACTTAGAAAGTCAGTCAGACATACAACTATGTCAAATTTGTCTACAGGCGAGCGTACAAGTTTCCATTGATAAATGAATAATTAATGAATACTAAGTGGTTTAAATGCAGCTTTCCTTTCCATTACTATTTTCCCTATAATTAGAACCAAATCACATAGTTATTTCCTGAAAGAAAATGATTAGGAAATCCAACAATCTATATTGCAGAGCAGAGAAAAGGTCTGACTGAAAACACATGATAATTGTTTTCAATCTTTAATTTGTGAAGGTTCAAACACTGCGAGGTCAAGTTGCTCAGAAGGACATGTTCATCTCAGAGCTTCTGGACAGAATCGCAATAGTGGAGTGTGAGGTAAGACAAATCCGTGTGTTCACTGTGTGTTTTTTATTTTGGTGTGGTGTGGTAATCTGTCTGGGCTGCTGAGCAATCGATCACCTGAACTTTTCTGTTTCCTCGTGTCACTGCACCTATCTAATCACTTGCACATGTTAAGTGACTGCAGTTCTTTGCATGTACCTGACCTGACAGTGTTGTTTCCTGTTTCTTCTTTCCTAGAATAATGAATTAGAAGACAAGCTGAAGTATTTTATGTCCACACAGAATAGACCACGAGAGGTTTTGGAAACCAGGGAGATTGCAGTAGGCTGCGATCTGCTCCCCAGGTAAGAAGCAAAGTCAGAGAAACATATTCAGTAGTATCAGGTCATATTTGGTGCTTCATTTAGAGGTGGTTTATTACTCTGATCTCTGACTTCTGCAGACGTGAAGCAAAAAGGCATGATGTTGAACCTCCTGTTTCATATGAACCAACTCATCTCCATCCCATTCAACACTCTCCACCTGTTCAACCACCACCAACAGTGAAACCTCCATCACCTGCTCTACCTTCATCAACGACTCAACCTCTATCACCTACTCTACCTGTAATACCCACTCTACCTTCATCCCCAACACAACCTCTATCACCCACTCTACCTGTATTACCCACTCTACCTTCATCCCAAACACAACCTCTATCACCCCTACCTGTATTACCCACTCTACCTTCACCCCCAACACAACCTCTATCACCCCTACCTGTATTACCCACTCTACCTTCATCCCCAACACAACCTCTATCACCCCTACCTGTATTACCCACTCTACCTTCATCCCCAACACAACCTCTATCACCCACTCTACCTCCATCCCCAGTACAACCTCAGTTCCCAACACAACCTTCATCCCCTACATCTCCCCTTCAATATCCAGTCCACTACCTAACAACGTCCACCCGACCAAGGACGTTCACGGCTAATTACCCTCCACCAAGCAGGCTGGAGTCCAGTTTACTGATGTACACTCCTGGCCAGTACAGCCGTTTCCTGCAGCACAACCCCTCAGTATCGAGTGGGATGTTCCCCGACACCCGTCCGTCTGAGTCTGAGCCTCCTGTGAGTCCAGTCCAATCAGGCAGAGATGAGGTCGACGCAGAAACAAACACAGACACACGACCAAGTCCTGAGGAATCCTCTTCTTCTCTGCTCTCTTCTCGACCAAGATCAAGAACCCCTCAAGTTGATACACCGTTCATGAAACTTCTGGAAATAACGGAAAAGATAAACATAGAGTGATCTTGAAGTAATAGTTCGACATTTTGGGAAATTAAATTATTCACTTTCTTGCAAAGAGTTGAATAAGAAGGCTGATACCACTAACATTTTGGAATGTAACTGCAAAACTACAGCCAGCAGCTGGTTAGCTTAGCTTAGCATAAAGACTGAAAACAGGAGGAAAGAGCTAGCCTGCAGGTGTTGTTCAAAAGTAACAAAGTGAAATTCACTATCAGTCTGACCTATTGCATCGAAGCATCTAAGAAGCAGCTTGTTGACGTATTTTTGGGTCCTAAACCGTTTTGTCTGGAAAGATAAGGGTTTGGTGACATTATAAAAAGCAGCTTGCTGCTCTTCAATGTCAACAAATCTGAGAACTCACATGCTAGCTGCAACCCAAGTGGCCGTGGAGGCATCAGGAATGAGTGGATCTGCAGTGCAACCTTGTTCACTTTTCACTACTTTTCACCACACATCCTCAGAACCCTCGTCAGAAGCTCGTAAAAAGACAGATAAGAAAGCACGGTTTCATACAAGGATATGCAACCCAATGGCATTGTTTCGGGTCAAGATTGTCAGAATAATGACAGAGCTGAAGTTCCAAGTCTCACAAGACACATAGTGGGGATGCATTACACGATACACGAATACACGAAGTGGCTCAAACTTGACTTTTTGAAAAAAACTGACGGTCCTACTTCCTAAAGCTGGTGCGGAAGGGTAACTGAAGTGCGTCGCCAATTCTCCATTTTACAGGGGTTATGGGAGCGACTGTGGAGACTTGAGTCAAGAAATAGTCCGGTCCAGAAACACCCATCAAATGGAAAATTGACATTGTTACACTTTTACACGTGCTGGTAGATTCATTTTGATACAAGTTTCCAGTCTTTATGCTCAGCTAAACAATATGTAGATGCAGTTATCTTAGCATTAAGCTAATCTGTACATCATGACTGTACAGTTCTGTGTTTCTGTGGTAAAAGCTAAGCTAAGTGCAGTCACATATTTACCGTAGTCAGTGGTATTGATCCTTTCCTCTAAAGAAATCAAAGAAGCGTGATCCCTAAAATGTTGAACGAATCCTTTAAACTCACTTGTCTTTACTCTTATTTTTATTGTGAGTTATGTTTTTCGGAATCACCATTCATGACTCATATGCATATTAGTTCTAACACTATCTCATATGTTTGAGTCTGGTTGGTGGTGTAAAAGGTCTTATGAAGGTTTTCAGCCTATGTTTTAACGTAGCAATATTAATGAAAATAAAATGTTGCTTGCTGTAGGGTGTAAATAATTTGATGCTCTGTATAGATATTTTGTAAGTAATGTACTGTAAGATTTTATTTGTTTTGTTTACACTGAATGTAGCCTACTGGTGTTGCTCACAGAGCTATGAGCATTCAGTCTTATATGAAGGTTGATACAGTTATTATGTCTATATTCATATCATTTTATATTGGCACTGTACAAATTGAATGAATATTATTCAGTTTTTGTCCCATTATGTACAACATATTTATTAACATGCTTTGTGCCTTTGTGAACAGCCTACTATCTGATACTGGGGGTGGGATGAATATCTTTGAATTGGCAACAGGGTAATATAGTAATATAAGGTTGTTCAAGACTGTTCAATCACTTTACAGATATTGACCTTATTTAGGTGACTGCCATTCCTGAGCCACAGGCACAAGTATTATCCAGCTGGTATCTGCACTGCCACAACTGTGTTTGAAAAAGCTTTATGATGTGCTTTTTCCTCAACGATACATATCATACTGCGACTAATGATAAGAGGCCAGCATATGTTTGGATAATAAAGACTTTGCTGTATAAGTACCAGACATCCTGATTGTGTCAGCACTTTCATACTGTGCAACCTCATACATTTTTAAAGCCTGAAGCTTACAGTATATACGTACGTCTGACTACTTAATTTTTCATCGATTCGGATCACTCTGTCTGAATTTATCTCGTTAGAAACACAAAAGAAGCTTTAAGAAATGTTTTGTATATTTCATCCATTTGTAATGATTCAATTTCACATTTAATGTCATGCATGAACACTGAACTCCAGATAACCTTTATGCAAATATGCAAAACCTCAGTGACTACATTTTAGGAACTGTCTGTTCTGTATAGTTGGCAGATTTCAGATACTTTACTCTAAATGATATACAGTACATAGGCTTCGCAATGCAAGCTATTTCAGCTATTTCACCGAACCAAATCCTACTTGTAATTTCGATTTATATATGTTGTACAGTGATGATAGACCAATTCAGAGTGAGGCCAGACATGGTGTTGCAAGAATTTGTTCACATCACTGATGTTGCAAAAACGTTTGCAGATCCATGAAAAAAACCTCTCCAAAGCTTTGTACATTAAAACAATGAGGTAAAATAGACGTTAGAGGATTACAGGGACAAAATCTAAAGTGTGCAGTATAGGTGATATTATCAGTAAAGTACATCCTGTGCTTCAGATTGCACTACCACAAAGTACACATGCTACACCTGTTTTGATTAGTTTGTTGGATTCTGATAAGAAAAGAGGATTATTTATGTGGAACAAACTACAAAATGTAAGAAAGCCATCAATGTTTTACAGTGTATGGTGTGATCTGACTTGGTACACTCTCTCACACACACACACACACATATATATGGAAAAATATATTTATAT